GTCCTCTGCCTAAGATTATAATTTGAACAGAAAAATGGGAAACTGTAGTATAAATACCATCCTTAGGCTTCAGTTGCCAATCTTCCCCCAGTACTCCCCAAGCAAGAAATCCAATAATGGGTCTCATGAGTCCTGTGGGAGTTTCGTTGGACTCTGTGGACCACAACTTAAATGTGTATTCCCAGAGCAGGGCTATGCTTTGAGAGATTCAAACATTACATGGTGCTTGAATAAGGGCCTGGACACAGGTTGTCAAAAAACATTACTTCCCTATAATCCAATGAAAAAATTTAAATAATGAATTTTTTTTTAAAAAAGCATAACTTCCACTGCTCATTTGTATAATTATGAAGATACTTGCATTTTATCTAGTCCTCTTCACATCTTGTAGGATGTGGGATCTTAGTTCCCTGGCCAGGGATTGAACCCATACACCCTGCAGTGGGAGTGTGGAGTTTTAACCACTGAACCACCCTTATCCTCATTTTAAATTGGGAGAGCTGAGGTTCAGAAAGACAAGAGAGGTTAATAGTGACTTTCTCCATAGACTTCTATCCTGAGTGCCAACTAAAAAGGCTTGCATAGCCCCATTGAATTTGTATTCACACCTTGAGTTTACATGGTCTCCAGGTTGTAAAGTCATGACATCAAGATTCAAATTCCTTGAGTATATCCATCTGAGAGCCCCTGGATGATAGAGGGCTAAGAAGCAGGATGCTCTTAATCTGACTTTGGGGACCTTTTACAACTTGGATGTACCATCCCCCCAAATTGTGCTCTGTTCTATACAATGAGGGTCTTTACCTCATCATGTGGCAGGCTGCCCACCATTTCTTTTGTACATTTTCTCATGTAGTTTTGCCACAAGGCGTTTCTTTTCCTTCTTTCCGCCTTCTATCTACAGCCTATGTATAACCTTCAAGGCCCAGTTCCTAATACATGTCTTCCAAATGTTCTGTTTCTTTCATCCAGACTTCTTAGAGCACTTGTTTCAGCTTGCAGTTAGGATGTGGTGCAGTTTGCTGCTGCTCCGGCCATGTCAGTGCTTCCTCCACCTGGTCCCTGCTCTCCAGCACGATTGTAAGCTACCTGCGGGCAGGGATAGTGGCTTGTTTTCTCCATAGGGCCCAGCACAGTGACTTGCATATACAGTACTTGAGTGAAACAAGCATTTGTAGATGAAAGATTAAAAAGTTCAGGAAAATCCACTGATGTGGATTAGAGTAATGTTAGATAAATTAAAAGATGTATGTATGGGTGGACTTTCTAGGAGTGAGGATTTAACCCAGAAGACTTGTGGAGTGTCCTTCCAGGGCTCTGGTGGCCTTTCAGTTGATGAGAGCCCTTTCTCCAGTCTCTAGAGGAAGGTTAGATGTAGCAGGGCAGAACTGTAAGCACAGGCCTAGAGCAGAGTGCTCTTGGCCAATGAGGAGGCCTTGTGGGCCAGGGGGCATGGGGTTCATAGAGGTTGGGCAGGGGCTGGGCTAAGGGAGCAAAGACCCCAAGATAAAATCACAGTGGTTAAGAGGCTATTACGGCAGAGAGGAACTTACCTGGCTCAGGCAGCTCAGCCCCAGGCCCCTCTGCTGGTCTCTTATGGCAGCCCAGGTCCGCAGCCTGCTCTTACTTCGCCTTGATCAGAGAGAGGATGAAGAGCTGGCCAGGCTCTCAGAGAAGACCCCATCGCTCCGAAGTCTGGCAGGAGCGGGGCTTCAGTTTCCGTCTGTTCTGAGCTCTTCCTGTAGGCGTTTGGAGAGAACACACAGATGGGTTGGGCTGATGGAACTGGCTGAGTTGGGGGGAGGGAAGCTTGTAGAGTGTGTGGCTCCCCTCATGGGGGCAGTCCTGCCATCATCATCTTTAGAATTCTGCCACATGAAAGACACTGGGCCTTCCAGTTCCTCACCCTCTCCTCCAGTGACATTTGACCATTGGTGATCCTCTTCCTCTAGGAAACCCTCCTCCCTGGGCAGTGGCCACCACTTCTTTGGCAGCTACATCCCCACTGTGCTTCATCTGCCTGTCCCCAGGACACTCTCTTTGGTCCCTCTTTTTTGGAACAACAAAACTTTGTTTTGTTTAAAATTAGTTTATTTAGCCATAGGTAAAAACTCAAAAGGTAGAGAAAAGAGCTTACAATGAAAAGTAAACCTCCGAACCTGTCCTCCCCAACCCAGTTCCCCTTCTCAGTAGTAATCAGTACCATCCTGGCTGGTGATTTGTTCTGTCACAGACCCCTTTGGAAATCTGATGAAATTCATGAACCTGTTCTCAGACGAATGCATGACTGCACAAACACATCAGATTGTACCATTTCACAAGATCACAGACCCCTAAAGCCAATGTGTGGTTTGAGGCTAAGGATCCCAGCCTGTATTATACCTTCTCTCTTAGTATCTCTGTTAGTGGGTCCTTGGTGAAAAATGAAGATGCGGGGTTCCTTCTTCAAGGAGCCTTGTTCAGGGACAGTGGAGCATTAAGCTGAATGTAGGGCCTGTGTGATTGCCCTGCGACGCCTCCTTTCCTCTGTCTTTTCTGCTGTCGTTAGGGCAGTTATTCTCATATGTGTCTCTTGCCCTGACTTGTTCTGAATTTCAGACTCAGCTATCTGGGGAGCAGTTGAAACTCTCCATATGGATGTATTTCTGAGTATCTCAAACTCTAGGGTCTCCAAAATTGAGCCATTTACTGGCTACCTCCTCTGTCCCCTAACTGCCAGTTCCTCACCATCCTCCCATCACCTGCAACTCCTCACTCGCTTTGTACCCAGCCACTCAGTTGCCAGGTCCCACAGATCCTGCCTCTGAATTCCATGCTGCCTCTCCTTTCTGATTGCCATCTCCTTCAGGATGCTTCTTCATTACTCTCCGTGTGTATTACGTGATTGTCCCCTAAACTCAGCTCCCCAGGCCTTGCCTCAGCTGCTCCAGTCCATGAACACCTGTCCCCGCCTCCTCTTCCCAAAGGACCAGCCCCATCATGTCACTTATAGACTCAGAGCCCTTCAGTGACTCTCACTGCCTACCAAGTTGGGCACAAACTCCTTTGCTTGGCATTTAAGGTCCTTTGCAATAGAGCTCCCAACCTTCTTTTCATTGCTCATCTCTTACCCCTCCTCTTCATGTCCCTGAGGTTTTAACCCAACTGTAGAACCATCTGGTCACCCTTAGTGGGCCCAGTGTGTTTTCCTGCATTTTACAATTAGAACTGCCTCTGTTCCTGGTCCCGAGTTTAGAGCTGGTTTACTTCACTATAGCCATGTAATTTCTCTGGCCCTTTTACCACAGCCACTGCCCATGGCTCTGCCCATAGTGTTCCCTGTATTTCTTCTACTGTTCCTCTCCCTCTTCCCCTCATCCTCACTGGAAGTGGAACCTCAGGTGCAAAGTTAGATACAATCACCATTAAATATCAATCTGACATGAGTGGAATCCCAGTTCTATTGATTATTAACCTCAGGCAAGTAAAAGCGGTAGTAACACCTTATAGTCATTAAAGAATTGAGATAAAGTGAGTAAGTCCTAAGGACAGTGTTACTATTCTTATCTCACCACCCATGCTGGGCTGGTTTCCCTTGGCTCCTCCTCAGCTGCAACGACTCAGGAGACATCCTTCTTTCCATCTAGCTCTGGGAACCTGGGTAGGGTAGAGTGGAGGCCTGGCCCCCAGGTGCTCAGGTAGCTGTATCATCTATCTAGGGGTGAGGGGAATTGCTGCTTCTGCTCTTTGTTCAAACTCGTGGCTCAGGCAGCAGCAGGCGTGGGCGTCCCCAGGGGAGGCACTGACAGCTTTAGTGCTCACACGGGCCTTGCAGGTGACAGCTGGGGTGGTGGGGCCCTGCCGGGGGAGGTGCAGGACAACCCCATTAAACTCCAGCTGATGGGCCTCCCTGTTGGAGGTGGGCCCCACCTTGAACCATCCCAGGTCACAGCTGAGAGTAGTTCTGGGCACAAAATGTAGCCTCCAGCCTGCTCCTTGCAGGATTAAGGGGTAAGGAGATGGGGACTTGATCACTGAGTTACCGAATTATTCTAGCAGGTCCCTACTCCTCTCCAGGCCTGTTTTTTCACTGGCAAAGGGACCACTTGGACTCTGTTCTCTAGGGACCTTTTTCGCCTTGTCATGGACTACTCAGACTAAGTTCCGGAGCCTCCCTAGAACTGTTCAACAAGAAAACTCAGGCTCATGGGAGCAAGGAACCTAAATCCATCCATCCCTTTCTTGGGAGCTTTGAGAACAGAGTCAAAGTGAGCAAGTGCAGTAGAAAAATTCTTTATTGAAAAGAGAAAGGTGGTCCCCTTGGTGGTGACTCCTGAGTCCTGGCAAAAGGCAGGTTGCCACCCCTCAAATCTTCAGGCAAAAGTCTCTGCACGCCTTACCGTTAATAACCTTAAAGGGGAAGTGCCGTGGTGCCACGGTAAGTCACAGAATCAAGAACAGCGCTTCCAGGCCCTTGCCTTTAAGAACTTAAGGGCAAAGTGGACGAGTGCGGCAGAAGAGAGCCATGACGCTGTAAGAAAGTCTCAAAGAAGCGGCTCTGTGACTTTACCTTTAAGAATCTCTTATGATGAGGCGTGTTCACGCTGAGTACAAAGGTGGGAAACTGTAAAGAAGTCTACAAAGGTCTCTTCCAGTTCTTGCTTTTAGCATCTCTTTACAGGAGAGGTGGTCAAGCGTGAATTAAAAAAAAAGAAAATCCCTTGCAGAACTCTTTTCCTCCCCTCCAGCCGGAAGCTGCCCCGCCCACCGGTTGCGGCTCGCCCTCGGCGGGTCCGCTTCCTCTTTCCAGGAGCCCAGAGGCCGGGAGGTAAACGGAGAGCGCAGGAGCGGGTGGGGCGACGCCCTCCGGGGCCTGGGGGCGGGGGACCCGCCTCCCGCGGTCACAGCAAGGTGTACCGGGAGTTTTTGGTTTCCTAGACGGTCTTCATGGAGGAAGCCGAACGAGGGCGGGGCGGCGCTAGGGGGCGGGCAGAGAGCGCGGTGACCATGGTGACCACGGCTCAGAGCACTGAGAGGTCGTGGCACGATCTGGAGCGCTGCTTAAAGAACTTGGCGTTGCGCGGCACCAGGTTGGCAAGGAAGCGCTTGGCCTTCTTGGTGAGGCTCTCGCGACGCGCGGGCGGAGCGGGGCCCTCGGGGCTGCCCCACTCGGGCCGCGGGCCCCCGGCGCCATCCCGGCCTCGCCGCAGCCGGATCTGGCGCACCGCTCCTTCGAAGAGCTCCCTCGTGTTGTGGTGCAGCGCGGCCGACGTCTCGATGTGCTTGCAGCTCAGTGTCCCTGCCAGATGGCGGCCCTCTGCAGGAAGGGACCTCTTCAGGCGCCCGCCCGCCCACTGGGCTGCGCTGGGCCCGGGATGGGGCGAGGCGGGACCTGGGGTCTCCAGGGCGTGCAGTGAAAAGGGATTGGGGCAAGTCAATCTCTAGCACAGAGGGAACAAGCAAGGATCAGTTGGAGGGCGCTGGTGATGCGGAAGGGGAGGGAGAAAAGGGCCTTCAGAAGAGGTGAGGGGGAGTGAAGAGAGGGTCTCAAGCCCTAGGTGTGGGCATTGAAAGTCTGCCCTTAACCTGGGGCCAACTGCAGTTTTGTGCACCTTGAAGGGTAAAATGGCCCTATGGAGAAGAGATGACCTAGAAAGGAGAGAATCCTATGAGACTGCAAATATGGATGAGGTTCAGGGTACTCACCCTCCAGTGAGACCTCCCGAGAGCGGGCCAGGTCACTCTTGTTTCCAACAAGGATGACAGGCAGGTCGTGGTGGGGCCTTCCAGCCCTGAGCCGAAGTAGGGTCTCTGGAACTTTGGAGAAGCTTCGTCGGTCGGTGACTGAGAAGACGATGAGAAAGGCATCCCCCGTCTGAAGGCAGTGGTCCCACAGCCACCCGCCTGCATCCCCCTGCAGATGGGCAGAGAGTTGTGGGATGTCAGGGCTGGGGGCATGGAAGAACCTGTCCAGCCCCTGCACCTCGGGGATGAGGCACCAGGGTGTGAGGGCAAAGCCACCTGCTTAGGACACAGCGCATTCTGCCAAACACATCCAATACTCAGAGTGTGTTTGTGGAGGGGGGAGAAGTTTGTAATGTGAGCCCCACATGGGCAAATGGGTGACATAGGATCCTAGACTAGGGTAGTCCATCCTACTTTCTTATGCCTAAGCTCTTCAAAAATGAATGCTATTCAAGTGTATTCAATCTGGCCTCTCATTTCTGCATAGTAATCATTTGTGTCCATATTTTCACAAGGCCTCACTTTTTTTTTCCTTCCCTGACATTACAAAGCCCTGAGCTCCTGTCCTGTCAGATCAGTTTCTCCTAGGCTAAAAAATGTATTTCAGGGTTTCCAGCCTGGCTTCCAGCTGCAGGGTTTGTCAAATTCAGATCCTAACATTCCTCTGGGTCAGAAGATCCTGGAAACCAAACAGCAGTTCTCAATGCTATGGTGTGTACATGGGTGTCAGCCTTTGTTCTCTGAGACCATACATATGAAGAGTCAGGTTCCATTACTGTTAAAACGAGGGTACCAGCCTTCAGCCTTCAGCCTTCAGCCAAGACTTTGCCCCTCCTCAGTTCTTCCAGGTTTCATTATCTGCTTGCAGCTACATCTTAGTTCTTACCTGTTCCCAGATGTCATAAACAACTAGAGTCACTTCCTCCTTATCCACCATGATGCGTCTCTTATAGGTGTCCTCTGTTGGGAAATAGAGACAAGGAAGAGAGCCCGTTAGGAGGCTCCCCAACACCTGTAAGACCTGGTAAACAGGGACTCCCTCCAGAGAGGTTGCTACAGAAAGCATTGGAACAGTTTCTAAGTTCTGGCCTCCGGGACTGCACATGCCTCGAGCTCTTCCATCCCTGACTAGGGCTCCAGAGGTGCCCTCAACCCTTGCAGGGCTCCCCCAAATACCTGGGTTCTCCAGCTCGTGAGCACTGTCTCCCTGGAGACCACCGAAAGTGCCTGCTAGGGTGCTCTTGCCCACGCCGCTCTCCCCCACCAGCATGACCTTGAAGATGCCATCGTTTGGGGTGGGGGCTGCCTCCCCTGAGCCCAGGGAGTCAGAGGAGCCAGAGGATGAGGCTTGAGGTGGCCAGTCAAGTTCATCTACAGCTTGGGCCCGCCGCAGCTGGTGCTTGTAGGGGACAGGCATACTGCCTCTTCGTCTGGGAGCCCCTGGGGCAGGGGGTGGCCTGCCCCGGTCCAAACCTGCCAACAGTTTCTCTGGCTTCTTTAGCAGTGTGGCATCTGCTTCTGGGGGGGGCAAAGAGAAGGAAGCTATGAGTCGGGTAGGCCTAGCCATCTGCAGCAGGCTCAGTTCTGGCTGTTCCAGCCTCAGAGACCCCATCGATGACCATGACCCAGAAGGAGCTGGTAATTTTTGTCTGCCCTCTTCCACAGAACACCAGAAGCCTGAACTGGTGGGGCTCCCAGGAGCTGACCTGAAGGCTTGCCCAGCGTGGTTCCAGCCACAACCTGTTCAAACATGCCTCATGCGGGGGAGGCACCTGCGCGCAGGCTCGCACACCCACTCACACCCACTCACACCTCACACTGACACAGTCACACCCCCAGACTAGGCCTCCGGCCGGGCTGGGGAGGGGGCCGCCACTCCCTCCACTGAAGGCCCTGCCCTCTCCTGCTTCCTGCACCGCGTGCTCCTTATGCTGGGGAGGTGACCAGGGGATGGGAAACTGGAGCTACTGCCTTGGTTCTGGGGGTGGGTACTGACAGAGTCAAAAACTTTGTGGGGAGCCGCTTCCCAGGGAAGGGCCTTTTCTCTGAGATGTGTGTGTTGGGTCTCCATGGGTGTGTGGGAGGGGCTGCCCCTTCGCACGGCCCTGTAGGGACGTCCCCCCAGTGCATGGCTGTGTGCAGTCCTGCTGCACCCCTGGCTGTCCCTGTGAGTCCCAGACAATATTCTCTTCTTATTCTCTTCAGGGCTAGGTGGAGGGAGGGAGGGAGGGAGAGAGAAATAGCGAGGGAGCGGGAGCAGCAGGGAGAGTGACCGTGCATGGGTCCGGGTAACTGGAGGAGGAAGGAGACACAACAAAGGGGGATGCAGAGAGGCTGGAAATAGCCCAGGATCAATACTTGACTGGCAGCCAGGGCCTCCAGGAGCCAGAGAAACCCTTACAACAGGTCCCCAGGGTAGCCCCCTGCCCGTGATTCCCAGGCTTGTGGGCTGCCCCTTGTCCTTACCCTTTCCCTCCTGCCCATCCCAACCTCTCAGGAATGAGGCAGACCTAGGGGCTAAGTACCAGTATCTCCAGCAAAGCCCTGGGTGATGGGTGAGGGGACATTTAGGCAGCCCCCCCTCTACCCCCCTACTTAGCCCAGCCCTAGCGTGGGCAGGTGGCTCCCTCATTTCTCCAGTGGCTCTTCCTCTCTTGTTGCGTTCAAGCTGCTTCAACCCCTAGTTCTGACCTCCCCACCAAAGCTTCAGCTCCCACCAGCATGGTTTCAGCCAGAACCTGCCAGCCTTGCTCTCACCTGGTGTGGGTGTCTCTGGAGGAGAGGCCCGGTGGCTGCTGGAGGGGCAGAGTGCTGTGGTTTCCGTGTCGGTGTCCATGTCGGTGTCGAGGTCCGAATGCATCGTTGTGCGTGTGCAGCCCGGTAGCTTGCAGCACCCGCTCGCTCACTCAGCAGTACTGTCAGCTTTTCCCTTTAAATACCACCCCCTCCATGCTCTACCCCCCCCACACCTGGGGAAATAGCCCCGCCCCCTGATGAGGTCACACATGCTAATAAGCCGTGATGTCAGCGGGATTCCCTCCTTTCTGCTCCCCCTTCCTTTGTGTCTCTTCCCTCTGGGAGCACACCCACAGCGGAGCCTGGTTAAGATGCGAACAGAACAAAGTCAGAGGGGCAGAAGAGACGGGTTCAGAGAAGTGGGGCTAGGGGTCATGGGTAAGGGAGCTGAAGATGGGAGGAAGCAAGGATCCAGGACCTGGGTGGTCTTTTTCCAGGAGCTAGGACTATGTGTCATTTGTCTGCGTATCCCAACCCCTTAGCCCAGCGTTCAGCCCAGAGTGGGTGCCCAGGAGCTAGATGGAGAGGCTAAAGGAAGAAACCAAAAAAGACGCAGGGACAGAACAGCCACCCTGCCACCAAGTTTTCCTGTCGCCCCCTCCTTCCGCCTGTCACTCCTTCTGGGCTAAGACCCACAAAAGTACCCATTTCCCAGCCTGGCCTCTAGGCAGATGGGGCTTTGAGGAGGGAGACATGGTGCTTTGTTTGGGCAGCTTCGTTTTTTTTACTTGGTTCCAGTGGGTACAAACCACTGTGGAGACTTCCCACCTGTCCCTCCGTGCCAGGTCCACCAACCTCGTGTTAATCAGAGCAGGAAAAAGGGGAGGGGCAGCTAGCCATCTGGAAGTTCCCAGTCCCAGGCGGGCAAGCCCCCTCAGTGCTCTCTGGAGAAGCCCCAGGCCTTCTGGGCTATACCGGGCAGACACGCAGTGACACCCACCTCTGGGGGAAGCCAAGATAGAGGCACTGCTCTACTGCGCCTTTTCTGCCAGGTCCCTTTCACTTTAGGCTCCCACTCGTGTCTTCCTGACATCAAGGACCCAAACACGCATTTCGATTTACTGGCCCCTTCTCTCCCCATTTTTGTCAGATGCTGTGCTAAGCACCTTCCTGAATTATCTCCTTTCATCCTCATGACCCTGAGGCTCAGAGTGATAGGTGAGTGACCTGTCCTCCAAATCAATCATGCAGCTGGAAAATGGGGACACTATGATTCCCACCCAGATCCTTCCAGTGCCAGAGACTACCTTTCATCTCTATGCTATGCTGCCTTCTTTGTCTTAAATATTCCAGCTGTCTCCTATTATTGGGAACAATATTGCCATCTTCAGTGGATTTTTCCAATTGAAGCAAACAGTGATCTGGGGATTGCTAGTGCACTATGTGGATGGAAGTCAATAACAGGGCAACAGCGTAGGGTCTAGCGGGAGCAGAACTAAGCAGCTACAGTCCTTATGTACTTCACTGGATAGACTCTACAGTCCTCAATCACAGCCTACTTGTCCTTGACTTTATTCACAATTTTAATGTTCACCTGTGTTCTGTACTTGAAGATTAGAAGTACATCTATAGCAGCTAGTGACCCCTACAGTAGCTAATAGCAAGAGAAACAACATCACAGAAAACTTTTAAAGCAGTCCTAACATTTAAAAAGTGCTCCAAGGTCATCTGGCATTAAGGCGAATAGCTTTTCTGACACTGTTCACAGCTTCTGAAGACATTGCTGCAGAGTTGTTTGGTTTCTGAGTGATCCTCAGCTATCTAGAGGATTTATGTTATATTGCAGATGTGCTGAAGATGAGTGTAATGTATTAGAATGACTTCCTTCCAAAATGAGTTTTTTAAAAGTTTTAAATTATAAAGGGGTGAACTTTGTATATCTGGAAAGTTCATTTAGATGGTAGAATTCATTTCTATGATACTAGATAAGAGTGTCAGCATCTGCAGAGCCCAGCGAGGACTCTTGACCATGACTTCTGCTGGCTCTCAATCTAGCCTCAGGCCACAGATACAGGCTGGGTTTCATCTTGAACCATCATCTCTCTCATCCCACTGGTAAGTGGCTGTGCACTTGCCCAGCTTGAGGCTCCCTCAGGAATTGGAGGTTCTGTATAATAATGGGACAGACTGAGATTTGAAATTGAGCCTATCCAGGTTTAACTCTGCCTCTCAATAGAGACTGGACCAGTCTTGCAATTCTCCTGAAGCTGCTGTGAGCTTGTGAATTGGGGCTGTCGTATCCATGGCACAGCTTTGTTGTGAGGGTTAGCTACACCTGATAAAGGGTCTGACATGCAGCAGGTTCCCCTGCCATTTGGTGCTCCACAGCCTCAGCCTGGGTATTCCTCTCCCCTCCCAGCACGACCTGGAGCTTGCTTTAGGCCCAGATTCTGCTCCTTAAGAACCAAATTCTGGCATCTGCTCAGATTGTCTAATTCTTAGGCTGATTCCATCTCATAACTGAGATCACCTCCCTCCTTCCCACCAAGGGCCTTTGCTTAAGTCCCATGCCCTGGTATTGGGTGTCTATCTTGACAGGATTTGAAGTCACCTAATTTCTTTTTCCTTGGGCCATGGTGAAAATAAACTTGGGTGACAGCCCCCCAGTGTCCCACCCTTACCTGGATAGGATCCTCTGTCTTCATTTCCCATTATGCCAGTACAAGGTCAACCCCCTCTCCCTGCCACTGGGGCTTCCCTAGGCTCCTACTTGCTGGGAGAGGAAATGCTGAACAATTAGTGCTGGGTGTGAGGACATTGACAGGGTGTAAGCAACAGGGCTCCTCCAGCAGACCGGTGGGGATAGGCCAGGCCATGCAGGAAGGGGGAAAATGAATCTAAGGGGGAGTCCATTTCTCTGGGGACTGATTCTGTTAGGGAATGCTTCAGCTTTGCTTCTGTAGGCATCACACCCACTTTCATAGGCTCTTTCTAAGTCCTTTGTGCCCATTAATTTTCTTTTTAAACTCTGGGACAGCTTTGTCACCTTGCTTACCACAGACTGGTAAGCAAGCATATGTCCCAGCATTTCTCACTGATCATTCCCTCCATTACCCTCTCCAGCTCTTTGGGTACCTCCTACAGCCCTAGCCCTCACTGTCTGCTTAGTTTGCTTATCCTGTGGCCTCTCACCTTGCCTAAAATTCACAACTCTATTCCAACTACTGACAGCATTCTTTAGAATCTAGTTTGGACCCTCTTCCAGGATGACCTCTTGGATTTGGCCAAGGTGATGCTAGCATCTTCATACCCTGAGTGATTATGATTTTTCTCTGGATGCATCTTTGTCTGCTTTGAGGCATGCTGGAAGAGAGTTCATCTGTCTTGCCTGGGACAGACTAAAAATGCTTGGTGGGGTGGAGGATGGAGGGCAGGAGTGTTCCACCAGGGGACAGTCTGCCTCTGTGATAAGTACTCTGAGAGTTCTCCATAAATGGGAAGTTTCCCAGCTGCAGGGCCCGGCTGGCTCACAACTTCTGGCCTGGCAGTAAGGAGGCTTGGTGCTCACTGCTGGTGTCAGTCACTATAGAGATGGGCCCCTGGCAGTAAGTGGAGATGGAGAGTCTTACTCTTGGGGTTCCTAGAATTTTCTTACCCTCTGAGTGGTATAAAAACTAAGGATGGGTGATTTGAAGATAAACAGGAAAAGGGCAGGAGGTGAGGCAGAGAAAGGCCTTCATAGTGAGGAGCAAGGTGAGGGGAGCATAAGCTGAGGTAGGTAGAGAGGCAGGGCCCAGGACAGCTCACTTACAGTCTGAAATTTCTGATTCCTTTATTTTCAACCTTGGCTTCCTGGGCAACAACCTAGCTATGGGACAGAAGCATTTGTTGTGCTCTTTTTATGAGCTGGGCCTTGTAGGAGGGATCACTGTTGGCAAAACCTCAGGCCCTGCTCAAATCCTCCCCTGGGAGCTGGAGGTCTCCAGCCAGTTGGCATTCTGGTGCTTAAGGCCACTTTTGGGTGGGTTTGGCAAGGATGAAGTGTCCAGGCCCATGACCCTTTAAGAACTTTACTTTTTCAAAACAGCCACAACCGGTGGCAGTGTGGAGAGAGGGTGGTGGTGGACTGTGGTCTCTGGCCATGCGCGGAGGGGGCTCTGTGAGGGCCCTCTCCCCGTCTGAGGGACACCTAACTTGACAGCAGCTACATGGGATCAATGGGAGGCCCATCAAGTCCCCTCAGACTGAGGGACAGGGAGGGGAGTAGTGGATGGGAAGCTGAGCTGCCCTCTGTAGGGTTGCTGTCTCTGTGAATAGAGTGCCCAAGGGAGCCAGGTCACCTCAGGCCAGCAGTGGCTCATCCTCCGCTTCGACCACCCAGACCCCGGGTTCAGCCAGTGGCACCAGCAGCACATCGTCCTCATCCTCTGGGGACAGGACTGTTGTGTGGGGTCCAGGTGGCGCTCGGGTTGGTCCAGGGGGCCGCAGGCTGGGCAGGAGGCGGCCTCGCAGGGCCTGTACCACTCCAGACAGCAGTGATGGCTCCAGGGGCACCGCACTCAGCGGCCCTGGGGCTTCAGGGACAGTAGGGAAGACTGGGGATGTGTTGGCAGGTGGCAGTGGGGCTTTGACAGGCAGCGGGGGTGCCTGTTCCCCCTCCTGCCCGCCCACCGCCCCGCCCTCATGGGCTGGACCTGTACTGCCATCTAAGGTCTCAGGAGGAGCAGCGGATGGTGTGACCTGGGATCTGGTTTCAGGGGTCCGGGCTGGAGGGTTGCTTCGGGGAAGCAAGCCCCAGCGGCGAAGACGGCGCACCAGGCGGCGCATAGAGCGGCCTCGCTGGCGGCGGCGGGCACCTGAGGTGCTCCCTGGAGTCATGTCCTGGCGCAGGATATGTAGCAGAGAACGCAGGTTGCCCAGGACAGAGTTCTGCAAGGAGAGGAGGAAGACATCAGAGTCGGAAGGGGTGGGGACAGCCACAGTGGGGCTGGAGCGGCAGGTGGTCTGGTTGGGGAGGGTGACTTACATCATTAGGGTTCTCTGTAGGGAAGTCCTCTACAGGGGGGATGGCGCCCTGAGCAATGAGCTGCCCGTAGGAGGGAGGCGCCTGCTGCTGCACAATCTCAGCCTCCATCCGGGAGAGGGGGGCGAAGATGCTGGAAGGCATGAGGGCTGCTCAGTCACAGGTGCCGGTGACCAGAGCTGCCTGTCCCAGCCCAGACAGGCCTCTTTACGCCACACCCAGGCCAGGACACCCAGCATTTATGCCCTGGCTCTCCAAAGTCATCTGAGGTCTCCATCCTTCCTTGAGGTGGCTTTCGAGATCTAGATCTTTCCCTCCCTCAGCGGAGCACACCTGCCCCCAAGTGAGACAGCCCCAGGAGCCAATCCAGCAGCTGGTCACCAGAACCTGTCCCCCGCATGGGCCCCCGCAGGTCTCCCGTGGCCACAGGGGCCCGGTCCCGCCCCCAGCACCCACTCCTCCAGCACCAGCTGCACCCCCACTGACCTGTACTCCTGGGTGCGGATGGCATAGAGCTTGCAGGTGCAGCCCAGGGCGATGACCAGCAGTAGGCCGCACACGAGGCTGCCGATGACGGCGGCGGTAATGACCTTGCGGGGCAGGGCGTAGGAGCAGTCCCACTCGTCACTGCCATCAGCACAGTCCGGCTGCCCGTCACACACCCACGTCTCATACACACACTTCTCATCCCGGCACCGGAAGTTGCCCGGCTGGCAGTGCCGACAGCGTCTCTCGTCTGCTCCATCAGCACAGAAAGTCTGGTAGTTACAGCGGTCAGCGGGCAGGTAGCAGGCTGTGGCCCCAGGGGTGCCGGCGGCCCCACAGGGGTAGTGTCCAGCTGGGCAGCTGGGGCAGTTCTCCTCGTCTGTGCCGTCTGCACAGTCCCATGAGCCGTCGCAGCGCTGCGCCTCGCTGTAGCAGCGCTCGCTGAGGCCTTCACTAGCCCCCAAGCCAGAGCCTAAGCCGCACGGTCGGTCCCAAGGCAAGCAGTAGCCCCGCACGTGGTAGGTGGCATTGAAGCCCCGACCAGTGCTCCAAGGGACTGTGTGGTAGTCCACTGTGGCCTGGCCAGACAGCGTCTCCACGGTGACAGCCTTGCCATTACTGAAGTGGGTGAGGCTGCGCAGTAGCCGGAGAGTCTCGAGGGGACCCGAGCCGTCATACACACGCACCGCATCCCCATAGCCTAGATCCAGGGCCGTGAAGCGCACGGCCAGGCGCCGGCCATCGCGTGGGTCCAGGAGCCAGCGGCAAGACTGGGGGTGGGAGACTGAGGCCAGGTGTGAGTATCCGAGAGAGGAGAAGACCCCATAGAAGTCTTCTAATGTGTGATTGCAGGGTGGGGTGAGGACAGGAGCTAGGGCCAAGTCAGGGAAGGGGTCTGAGCTGCAACCTGCCTCATCAGAGCCGTCGCCACAGGCGTCGACCCCGTCACAGCGCTGGAGCAGGGGCACGCAGCGGTGGTTCAGGCACTGGAACTCCTCCTGCAGGCACATCAGCCAATCTGCAGAAGCACCACGGGGAGGGGCTGTGAAGCACTGGGGCGGGCAAGATCCTCCCCTCCTCCCTGGGGCTTCCATTGCCTGTTCTAAGCACCACAACAGCCCTGTCCAGCCCACCTTGGCTATAAGAGAGCAGGAAGCCCTGGCCCATGGGCGCTCTGGCCCCGACATAGCTGTAGGTGATGGTGACGTTGCCTCCAGGCAGCTGCACAGGGCTGGCAGGTGCCTCGCACAGGGAGAGCTGCGGCTGGATGGGGGAGCGCAGGGTTAAGCGCTCTGAGCCACAGGCCAGATGCAGTTTTTGGAACCTACAGGGGTGAAGGAGAGCAGGACGTAAGATATTCCTGACCGCTGCTGGCTTCTTCCTCCCCTGACAGTTGTCAAGCCTCTTCTACCCCAAGCAGCACAAACACCTGCTTATCCACAGTCCAAACGGTCAGATGAAAATGGAGTTAGCCAAATTCCTTTGTAATCAAGGCAAAAGCCCTAACAGAGGCCTATGGTACCTGAGACCATGAGTACATCTTAGAGCCTCTTGGAAAAACTGGCATGTGTTCTGGACTGAGTTAGATTCATTGCTTTCCTGTTGTTGCAGCACTGTCACCCGAGTATGGTGCCGGCAACTACCATAAGCTTAATTAACCAGAACTCCCCATCCCCTCCCAGCGCCCAGCGGTGAGACCTGAGATCACCGTAGCATTCTGATCGCTCTGCTCCAACAAGCTCTCCCCAGATGGCCTCTCTCTTCACCTGTCCTTTTCTGGGTAAATTTATGGGAAGTGAACTGTGTGAAGCAAACAGCCAGGTATTTAACACAGGCCCCAACCCCACGGCCCAAGGTTGGAGGAGCCGAGGGAGACCCAGATTGTTTAAAAGATCTGAGGAGGCTGAGGAAGGTTCTGGAGTGACTGTTGTCCTTCAGAAATGACAGGACCCAAGCTAGATGTCCACTCCAGTCCACCTGAAATTCATTGTGTCTGGCCCCAAATAAGCCAGGCTTTTAGGGCAGATGACGCCAAATCTAACTCTCCTCTTTCCCCTGTTGACAGGATGGAAGCTCCATGGAGAAGTGATCCCCGCAGGCTTCTCCCTGGTAGGGGGGGTGGGGTGGGGAAAAGGTATAGGGTTGTGCCTGCACTCACCTGACCGTTACCGTCTGCTCTTTGCTGCCCAGGATGAGCCAGGTACAGTTGGCAGGGGAGCTGCGGCTGTCCCGGCCCACAGGCCTCTGTAAGGTGCCTTGTACTTCCAAGAGCACCGCTGGTGGGTCCTCACAGGCTAGAGAAAGAGAGGAATGTACGGACATCAGTCGAGAGCCCCTCACCATCACACCCCTGCCCAGGCTTGAGGTCTCCGAGGGCCTGGGCTCTTTGGAAGAAGCACAGACACTCCCCCCACCCCCGCTACACACACACTACAGGCATAGTCTTCAGCCAGCCTCCTCCTCTTCTCCCTCATCATAATTCCACTTTAAGTATCAACACCACAAACAACATGAGGTCTGCTCTGTGCCAGCCACTGGGCCAGAAAGAACAGGAAATACTGTTTCTATCCTCAAGGAGAGCACATTTTGGCTAGGCAGATCAAGGATGGATATTTGGGGGAAAAGAAAAAAGTACATAACTACCAGCTGAGGGCTTACTCTGGGTCTCAGTTTCCCTATCTGTAAAAAAAAGGATGGGTGACGTCTAAAACTATGGTAGGTGCTAGAGGAATGCAAGGAAGAGAAAGTCTTGAGTTCTCATTACCTACCAAGCCCATGGGACCCGGGGCATCCTCTACTCACCAGGATTCGGGAAAATGAGCCTATCTGGGTGGGCCACAGTGCCTCCTAGAGGAAGAGCGAGAAAGGGCAAGAGTCATGCTTCCGAGTTTCCTTCACCTGAGCAACTCAAGGAGGAACGAGAGCCATTTGCGGCTTCTGGGTAGTTTACGGGAAGGGGTGGTGGAGCAGAGGAAGACAGCGGTGTGTGACCTCGAAGGAAGGTCTGGCAGCACGGCCTATGGGATGGGTACAGTGATTTACGGAAGTCAGGGGAAGACTGAGAGAACGGCTGGAGATTTCCCGGGGACTGGGGCAGGCAGTGCCGGGGCGGCGGCAGGGGGTGGAGGGCACGAAGCGAGCAGATTAAGGTGAGGAGCTGCGTAGCAAGAAGGGAGCTAGAGTCCTCTGGGCCCGGTGATAGCCCTGGGAGCGGGGTGCCGGGCGAGTTGTCTCATTTCGATTTCTTACCCAGGAAGAGGAGAAGGATGGCCGGCAGCATCGTGAGCCGTCCGGAGGTGCAGGAAGAGTCCCGGAGCTTCCGTCGTTTATTCAGTGGGGAGGCGGCGCCGCTCCGGGCGTCCTGGCTCCCCAGTGCCGCCTCCCCCAGGGGGCTCCATGGCCCAGGCTCCCCGACCGATGCTCTAGATGCCAGGGCTGGGGACGGGTGGGGGGCGGCAGCGGCCCGGGTGCAGGGGCGGTGCCTCTAACCAACTTCTGAGTTGTTTTCCCCGGCCACCGCCGCGCTTTCTCCGAGGCCAGTCCCCGAAGCCCCGGAAATCGGCTCGAAGTCTGGCGCTGGGGCGCGCCCTCGCCTAGAGCCCGCCTGCAGGCCGCGAGCACCCAGGTCCAGGCCTGGCCGCCACCTGCCGGGGCTTGAGGCCACTTCCTCTTCGGGCCAAACTTTACCGACTGTCAGCCCCCAGGGCCGGGCCGGGCGCTGTTCAACTTCTCCAGCGCGTCCAACCCGCGGAACGCGGCAGAGGAGTGGGGGAGGGGTCAGGCGACTCGGTCCAGCGCCCAGTCCCTTGCCCAGACGGTACCCTCGCCGGCCCTAGGGTTGGAGAAGCCCGGGCGGAGGAGGGGGCGGGTGACGAGCCTGGCCACACCCCTGCCAATCAACGCGCGCCCCGCCCACCCGCCCGTCTTAACCCCTTTCCTGTTCTGCCGAGTCTTGGCACGCTAGCTTTTAAGGTGCTCACCCTTACTTTTAACTCTGCTTTGTTTAGTCCTTTCTGTGTAACGTTAGTTACAGGACACGTTTGTCAGAGGACTACTGCTTATTCTGTAACTGTCATGTCTTTCCTTTGGATCCTTAAGCTCTCAGTACTTCTCTCGTCCCAATGTCTGGGATCCGGTAGTACTTTTTCTGTGAGCCTCTATTACAACAATTACCACACCGTGTTATAACTATTTGTTTACTCTTTCCTGACCCCGCCCCCGCCCCGCCCCTTCTGTGGAAACCGAAACTTCCTGTAGGTTGGGGCCTAGACTGTTTACCTTTGTACCCACAATGCTTCTCGCCTGCTGAGACACAGTAATTCAACAAACGAATACATGGTGCCTTCTCTACTTGCTGTCTCTGTGACCTTGAGAAAATTGTTTAACTTCTCTGTGCTTCTCAAAATGGGGTTAATAATGTACAATTCCCTCTTAAGGTTATTGTCAACATTTAGGGGTAATGCAACTTGAACATCTAGGAAGTGCTTCATACCTGCTAGCAATTATTATTAGTCACAAGAGATATTTCTAATTTATGTGAGCTTGGGGTTGCTGATTTCCTGTGGCACTTACAGGTAATAATAGTAAAAAAGAAGAGTAGCAGATAGTTTTTGAGCTTTTTTGTACATTTCAGCACAGATCTAAGCACTTTTCAAGTATTTCCTCTTTTAATCTAGGTGGCCATAGTGGTAAAAAACCCTCCTGCCAGTTCAGGAGCCATAAGAAATGTGGATTCGATCCCTAGGTTGGGAAGATCCCCTGGAGGAGGGCATGACAACCCACTCTAGTATTCTTTCCTGGAGAATCCGTTGGACAGAGGAGCCGGGTGGGCTACGGTTCATAGAGTCGCATAGAGTCGTACACGACTGAAACAACTTAGAACATATGCATAGTCTTGTGAGGTACTTATTATTGTTACTCCCATGTTACAAGTAAGGAAACTCTGGCACAGACAGGTTTAATATTGCCCAAGACCATGGATCTAGTAAATGCTGAAACAAGGGTTTGAACCTAGTGTACATTCAGAACGTCTCTACAAATGGTACAAACAGTTTTCTGTTCGTGACATTTGTAGTTGACATCAGTTTTGATGTATTCAAAACTGAGGCCTCAGCAGGGCCTGAAGCCATAAAGGTGGCCATAAAAAGGCCCTTCTTCCACTTGGATCTTGGCCCCATGCCAAGCAACTTGGCTCCTTGATCTCTCTATGCTCCCTACTGCAACCCTTGGGATTATGATAGGTGCAATTGAACCCTAAATGTGGGAGGATGGTATTGAAGAGCCAGAAGCAGGGCAAAGAGGCTGGGGAAATTAAAAATATTTAAGTTGTGAAAGTGATCATGGAAGTTTTAGTTAAATGCTGGCTATGTTCTCTATGTTGGGTACTTGGCAGATGACTGGAACTTGTAAGACTTCACTTTAACATCAAGGAGCTAACAGTCTAGTTGAAAAGAAAGGTCAGACACATAAATTTAAAGTCAGACAGCCATGGTAAGTACCCATGGAAGTGGACTTGTGGGGAGTTTGGAAGTACCCATGGAGGTGGACTTGTGGGGAGTTTAGAAGTTAATTTAGAAGTGAAACAGGAAAAGTGATGGTGAGATGGATAGAGTTTTAAGGAGCAAGAGGAGGAGGAGGAAGAGAGACCATGGTCTGCGATACTAAATAAACTAAGAGTTGAAAAAAAAAATCAAGATCTAGGCTGTTGGGAGCAGTCATCATCATAAAGAAAGAAATGGCACCAATTAGAACAAACTTTCACTCTGTAAATATTTATTAGAGTGCCTTCCAAGTGCAAGGCCCTGTGCTAGCCATGAGGATTAATGTTTAAGAGTGAATTTGAGCTAAAAGAAGATGAGAAGAAATTAAAGAGAACCTAGGTGCTTATAATGAGTTTAAGCTTTAATTTGTTTAGTGAGCTGAAGTGTTCAGGCCCATATAAATCCCCATAGATCATCAAGTACATTTAGAAATGGATCTTTGTGGGGAGGGAGATGGGAGGGGGGTTCAGGATGGAGGAACACATGTATACCCATTGCTGATTCATGTCAATGTATGGTAAAAACCACTACAATATTGTAAAGTGATTAGCCTCCAATTAAAATAAATAAATTAATTTAAGAAATAAGAGAAAAAAAATAAAAAATAAAAAAAATAAATAAGAAAATAAGAAAAAATTACAAAAAAAGAAATGGGTCTTTGAAGATGTTCTTGGAATACTTTGAGAAATTGTGAAAAAATAGTGGAAATACTGAAAAAATGGGCAGATTTCTGGTTTTCAAGATGACAATATCTAACTTTGAAAGAGTACTCACCATATGCTTGGCACAGTTCTCATCACTGAGCATATATCACCTCATTTAATCTTCACTACATCTCCAGGAAGTAGATGTTATTTTTGTCCTCATTTTGTCCTCATTTCCTCAATTGAGGAAACTGAGTCACATATAGTCATAAACTAAGCAAGTCATTAGATAACTTGCTCAAGATCAAACTACTAGCATGTACAGCAGCCAAGATGCTCAGGTCTGAATGTTTGTGCCCTTACCCCTCCCCATTCATATGTTGATATCCTACCCTCCAATGATGATAGTGGACATCTTGGAGATCAAACCAGTCAATCCTAAAGGAAACCAGTCCTGAATATTCATTGGAAGAACTGATGCTGAACCTGAAGCTCCAGTACTTTGGCCACCTGATGCAAAGAATTGACTCATTGGAAAAGACCTTGATGCTGGGAAAGATTGAAGAAGGAGGAGAAGGGGATGACAAAGGATGATATGGTTGGATGACATCATCAACTCGATAGACATGAGTTTGAGCAAACTCCAGAAGTTGGTGATAGACAGGGAAGCCTGGTGTGCTGCAGTCCATGGGGTCGCAAAGAGTCAGACATGACTGAGTGACTGAACTGAACTGAACTGAACTGAAAGATGCTAGATAGTATTAGGAGTGGGGCTTTGGGGGATGCTTTGTCCCTAAGGTGGAGCCCTCAGAGTGGAACTAGTAAGAAAGGCTCTAGAGAGATCATTAGCCCTATCCATCATGTGATGAAGTCCTGGCTGTGACAGAATGTCCAGAAAGCACTGGCTGTGAACAAGGAAGACAGCCCTCACCAGAAGGTGACTATGCTGGCACCTTGATCTTGGTCTTCTCAATCTCCAGAACTGTGAGCAATAAATTTCTGTTATTTATAAGCTACTTCATCGGTTGTATTTTGTTATAGTGGCCTAAGACCAAAACTTGGTACTACAAAGCTGGGATGCTGCTGTAACAAGTTCATAAGAATGTGGAAGCAGCTTTAGAACTGAGTGATGGGCAGAGAATGGGAGGCTGGAGGTGCATGCTAGAGAAAGCCTATATTGCCATAAATGGACTGTTAAAGGTAATTGTTAAGAGGGCTCAGAAAAGAAAAGCTATTGAGAGAGCCTCAATCCCTCAGAGCACACCTAAGTGAACAGAATGTTGGTGGAAATATGGATGTTAAAGGTTGTTCTGATGGGTCTCAGATGGAGATGAGGAACACATGTTGGAAACCAGAGGAAAGACAATCTTTTATAAACAGGCAAAGAGCTTGGTTGAATTGTGCTGTGTCCTAGTGTTTGGTGAAAGGTATTAATAGAACTTGTGAGGAATGAAATTAGATATTTGGCTGATGAAATTTCTAAGCAAAGTGTTGAAGAAGCATCCTGGTTTCTCTTGGATGCTTATAGTAAAAGATAAAAAATGATTTAAAGGTGCAGTTGTTTATCAAATAGGATTCAGAACTTAAAAATTTGGAAAATTCTTATCATTATCTAACATACTATATTTTACTCATTTATCATGTTTGTTCCCTGTGCACTCACAAGAATATAAGTTGCATAGAGGAGACTTCCCTGGCGGTCCAGTGGTTAAGAATCTGCTTTGCAATGCCGGGGACACAGGTTTGATCCTTGGTCAGGGAGCTAAGATCCCATGTGCCACAAAGCAATTAAGCCCGTGCCACAACTATAGAATCCTCCATGTGCCAAAATGGAAGATCCTTCGTGACGCCACAGAGATCCTGGACACAACCAAATAAATATGTTTTAAAAAGAAAGAATTCTTTAAAAAAAAAAAAAGAAGAAGAAGAGGTAAGTTCCATAGGGGGTAAGGGCCTATTCATTTACTGGTGAATCCCCAGTGCCAAAAGCAATGTCTGGCATAAAACAAATACTCAATAAATGTTTGTTGAATGAATAAATGAGTGAGTCGTGACTGCCAATCATAGGCATCACATAGGTTATGTCTTTTAATCCACTCAACTGCCCTTTGAGTTATTAACCCCATTTTATTTACTTTTTTTTCCATTTATTTTTATTAGTTGGAGGCTAATTACTTTACATCATTGCAGTGGTTTTTGTCATACATTGAAATGAATTAGCCATGAATTTACATGTATTCCCCATCCCGGTCCCCCCTCCCACCTCACTCTCTGCCCTATCCCTCTGGGTCTTCCCAGTGCACCAAGTCTGAGCACTTGTCTCATGCACCCAACCTAGGCTGGTGATCTGTTTCACCCTAGATAATATACATGTTTCGATGCTATTCTCTTGAAACATCCCACCCTCGCCTCCTCCTACAGAGTCCACAAGTCTGTTCTATACATCTGAGTCTCTTTTTCTGTTTTGCATATAGGGTTATCATTACCATCTTTCTAAATTCCATATATATGTGTTAGTATACTGTAATGGTCTTTATCTTTCTGGCTTACTTCGCTCTGTATAATGGGCTCCAGTTTCATCCATCTCATTAGAACTGATTCAAATGAATTCTTTTTAATGGCTGAGTAATATTCCATGGTGTATATGTACCACAGCTTCCTCATCCATTCGTCTGCTGATGGGCATCTAGGTTGCTTCCATGTCCTGGCTATGATAAACAGTGCTGCGATGAACATTGGGGTGCACGTGTCTCTTTCAGATCTGGTTTCCTCGGTGTGTATGCCCAGAAGTGGGATTGCTGGGTCATATGGCAGTTCTATTTCCAGCTTTTTAAGAAATCTCCACACTGTTCTACATAGTGGCTGTACTAATTTGCATTCCCACCAACAGTGTAAGAGGGTTCCCTTTTCTCCACACCCTCTCCAGCATTTATTGCTTGTAGACTTTTGGATAGCAGCCATCCTGACTGGTGTGTAATGGTACCTCATTGTGGTTTTGATTTGCATTTCTCTGATAATGAGTGATGTTGAGCATCTTTTCATGTGTTTTTGTGCCATCTGTATGTCTTCCTTGGAGAAATGTCTGTTTAGTTCTTTGGCCCATTTTTTGATTGGGTCATTTATTTCTCTGGAGTTGAGCTGGAGGAGTTGCTTGTATATTTTTGAGATTAATCCTTTGTCTGTTGCTTCGTTTGCTATTATTTTCTCCCAATCTGAGGGCTGTCTTTTCACCTTGCTTATAGTTTCCTTTGTTGTGCAAAAGCTTTTAAGTTTCATTAGGTCCCATTTGTTTATTTTTGCTTTTGTTTCTAAAATTCTGGGAGGTGGGTCATAGAGGATCCCGCTGTGATTTATGTCAGAGAGTGTTTTGCCTATGTTCTCCTCTAGGGGTTTTATAGTTTCTGGTCTTACATTTAGATCTTTAATCCATTTTGAGGTTATTTTTGTGTATGGTGTTAGAAAGTGTTCTAGTTTCATTCTTTTACAGGTGGTTGACCAGTTTTCCCAGCACCACTTGTTAAAGAGGTTGTCTTTTTTCCATTGTATATCCTTGCCTCCTTTGTCGAAGATAAGGTGACCATAGGTTCGTGGATTTATCTCTGGGCTTTCTATTCTGTTCCATTGATCTATATTTCTGTCTTTGTGCCAGTACCAAACTGTCTTGATGACTGTGGCTTTGTAGTAGAGCCTGAAGTCAGGCAGGTTGATTCCTCCAGTTCCATTCTTCTTTCTCAAGGTTACATTGGTATTCGAGGTTTTTTGTATTTCCATACAAATTGTGAAATTATTTTTTCTAGTTCTGTGAAAAATACCATTGGTAGTTTGATAGGGATTGCATTGAATCTATAGATTGCTTTGGGTAGTATAGCCATTTTGACAATATTGATTCTTCCAATCCATGAACACGGTATATTTCTCCATCTGTTTGTGTCCTCTTTGATTTCTTTCATCAGTGTTTTATAGTTTTCTATGTATAGGTCTTTTGTTTCTTTAGGTAGATATACTCCTAAGTATTTTATTCTTTTTGTTGCAATGGTGAATAGTATTGTTTCCTTAATTTCTCTTTCTGTTTTCTCATTGTTAGTGTATAGGAATGCAAGAGATTTCTGCGTGTTAATTTTATATCCTGCAACTTTACTGTATTTGTTGATTAGCTCTAGTAATTTTCTGGTAGAGTCTTTAGGATTAACCCCATTTTAAAGATGAGGAAATTGACGCTCAGGGAAGACATATAACGTGCTGAGGGTCACCTGACCAATAAGTCATAAAGGTTGGCTCCTAACCCGGATGATGTAACTCCAGAGTCCTTGTCCTAACCGCTGTGTGGTACCACTTCTCTATGAAACTGCGCTTTTAAAGACTGAGTGGTGATAGGAATGGTGAGGGGGGGTCTCTAAGCCACTTCATGTGAAAGCTGTTTATGTGACGAGAAAGGCTTTTCACCTATAAAAGCTTAACTTCAGTGAGCGTTTGTATATATGAAAACTACACCCAAATATTTGAAGAGCTGTAGTGTGGGACAAGAATTTGTTTATTCTGTACAGTCTGAAGGGCAGAAACTGGAATTAACAGAACAAATAAAGACAGTCCCTGATCAAGGTACAGAAGCTGAGGGCGCAGGGAGGGTTGAGGCAGAGGGACACAAGTCCTGGGCTTTCAGGACTCCTTGGCAACAGTGTGATTCATGGACTGTAGGATGGCAGAACTTCTCAGAAGACAGGGCATAGGAGCTTCTTGAAGTAAGCCATGTTAAATGTTGATACAAGGCCAAAGAAAGTGAAAGCAGAGAATAGGCCTGGGGTTAGAAGAAAGGGGTCATCATGAGGGCCTTTTAGGGAGAAGTTTCAGTATATTCCTGGTTGGGATGCAGATGCAGAGGTTGGGTTAAAAAGCAATGACAAGGGGGACTTCCCTGGTGGTCCAGTGGTTAAGACTCAGTGCTTCCAATGCAGGGGTGTGGGTTAGATCCCGGTTCAGGGGACTAAGATCTCATGAGCCACTAAGATGTCACATGCCACACAGCCAAAAAATTAAAGAAAGAAAGAAAGAAATGACTGGGGAAAGAATGCAGACAGCTTTTGGAAAACTTTGGCTTGAGAGAAAAGGGGAAAATGAGAAAAATCATTCAAGACCGCAGCAGAATCCAGGAGAGCTTTTCAAGATGGGGAAACCTCTATGTTGGAAGGGAGTAGGGATTAAAGACTCTACCATATGGTGTCAGGAGCAAGTTTCCTTGTGCTTTGGAAAAAATGAGATGCAGGCTTGGGAACACCGCTTGGAGGTTTGAGAGAAACCTCAATCATGTCCATTTAGAGGGCCTCTGGCATATTAAAAAATTTTAAAACTAAGATTGTTTTGAAAATGTTTGGTGTATTTTAAATGCTTATATTTAACAAATGAAAAATTTTTAGCATAAACAGACAATAATAGAGTGATATTCACAATATACCTCCAGGCATTTTTGAACTACAAAATTTAAGACTTTTATCACTGTAAGACAGGGAGTAAAGGAGTCTCCTGGCCCCAGAGTGTGGATGACTTTGGAAGGATGGGTGCAGGTCAGAAACCCCCCTAGAAGGCTTGGGCATGACCTCTAAAAGCCTCAGACAAGTGGCACAGAAATGTCCCACTCTGAGATACAGGAGTCGCAGAGGCCTGCGTGCCTTGGCCAGAGGCGGTTCTGTCCTAGCATCCTGAGATCCAGGAGTGCAGCTCCACCTGCCGCTGACCTGAAGAGCCCAGGGTCCAGGCATCCTGGAGGGGTCAGTGCCTGAGGCGTCCACAGGAGGGCAGTGTGGCAACTCGGAGGCCAGGACCCCAGTGCCCTTTTCACTTCCTCTATCAGGCACCCTCTCCTGCAACCCCTCCCCTCCCCTCTTCCTTCCTGGAGTTATTCCAGGGCTGTTCACCAACCCCCATAAAGGGGCAGACGACGGAAACTCGACTTTTCCCTCTCTGCAGCTGGAAGACTAAAGCTTGTCATCCTGTCGCGCCCATAGTCCCACCCGTTTAAGTACAGGTGTCCTGGGTGGAAGTGTGGAAAGTGCAAAGGGGGAAGGGACAGGCCGGAGGTATCCTTGGCCCTGAGTGTGGCAGGCTTTGCCTCCGCCTCTCAGTTCTCCGGGCTTGGTTTGCAGTGCCAACACCTAGCACGAGGGGGCGCTACCACCCTGCAAACCCTGCCCAGCCGGTCTCTGCAGCAGTTGGGGCTGCTCCCAGCCTGAGAGGATGGGGTGGGCGTTCCTCTGGTCCCCTTCTCCAGCTTTCCTCCCTCCAGAATTTATGGGCAGTTTTGTGCAGGCGTGAGGTAGTTGGGAGGACCTCTGGAGCACAGGCCAGTAGAGTGGAGAAGAGACTCTGAGGACACCTGGGATGAAGCTTAAAGGGATGAAAGAGAGACCTTCTGGCTGGTGCTCCAGGGTCCTGGTGCTGGCTGTTCTGAGTGTGCAGCCTAGAGGATTGGTATTTCCAGAAGAGCTGGGCTGACACAACCCAATACCAATCATCCTCCGATTAAGGGCGCTCTGTGGGGTTAGGGCTTCCCTGGTGGCTCAGATAGTAAAGAATCTGCCTGAAATGCAGGAGCACCTGGGTTCGATCCCTGGACTGGGAAGATCCCCTGGAGGAGGGCATGGCAACCCACTCCAGTATTCTTGCCTGGAGAATCCCCATGGACAGAAGAGCCTCGCGGGCTGCAGTCTATGGGTTGCAAAGAGTCGGACATGACTGAGTGACTAAGCCCAGCAGTGGGTAGGGTTGGCACATGAGGAGGTCTATAGGGACAGAGCAGCTGTTCTGGAGTTATGAATCTCTTCCCTCAATACAGTTTCTTTCTTTTTTGAACCTTTTAAAGATTGAGGTGAATATTAAAAAATTAAAAAAAAAAACATTGAGGTGAAATATACAATAAAATTTTAAAAAATGTAATAAACTTAAGTGCATGTAGCTCAATGGTTTTTTAACCTATATATTTACTATGTCACATACTTTTTGCACATGTATAGAATACTTACGTATTCACAACTACAGCTGTTTTCTAAAAAATATATAGTTATTGAAAACTTTTTATTTTGTATTGCATGTGCATGTTAGTTGCTCAGTTTTGTCTGACTCTTTGAGACCCCATGGACTATAGCCCATCAGGCTCCTCTCTCCATAGGATTCTCCAGGCAAGAATGCTGAAGTGGGTTGCCATTCCCTTCTCCAGAGGATCTTCCTGACTCGTGGATCAAACCTGGGTCTCCTGCATTGCAGGCAGATTGTTTGCACCGGGACACCATTTTGTATTGGGGTATAGCCAGTTAACAATGTTGTAATAGTTTCAAGTGCACAGCAAAGGGACACAGCCATCCATATACAGTATTTATTTATTTGACTGTGCTGGGTCTTCGTTTCAGCACACAGGGTCTTTAGTTGTGGCATGCAGGATATAGTTCACTGACCAGGGATCAAACCTTGGCCCCCTGTACTGGGAGCATGTAGTCTTAGCCCTGGGACCACCAGGGATATCCGAATCTACAGCTGTTTGTGTATGTACATCACAGCTCTCACTGGTAATTCAAGTCAGCAAACTTTTATTAAGAGGGGCTCTTGTGTACCTAGCACCATCCTACTCTTTTCTAAGGAAGTGAGAACAGAATATTTGTTCGGTGGCTGTGATGGGATCAGTGGTGTTACGAATCTTAATTATTCCTCCACAGAGAGAGCAATGGCTGGCTGTATGATCTACCCCCAGTGCCCGTATTCTTGGAATCTAAAATGGGATGAATTGTCTTCTGTGTCTGAATATACAAACTCATGGAACGTCAGGAAGATATTGTGGGACCCAGGGTATTGGGTCAGGGCAGCCACGCTCCTAGCACAGAGCCAGGCGCGGAGTGGCCAAGGAGAGTGTTTTGAGGCATTGATCTTGCTCTCTGGCCTGGTGCTACATGTCTCTGGAAGCTGGGCGCAGGGTGACGTCTTTGACCACAGGCTGGATCAAAATGAGCTGGAGCCTGTCCCGTGTGTGTGAATCTGCTGGGCCCTTCCGAGGCCCCCGTCTTTCCCCTGCTCTGTGGTCAGCCTGGCCTTGCCCTGCCCAGACCCCATCCTGCCCCAGAGCAGGGAAGTGGCCCTAGCGGGAAATCAAGTGAGGATGCAGGAAGTGATCCATGGTGAGGCAGCCTCCAGACCTGGCCGGGTCCCTGAGTCAATGAGCTACATCAGGCTAAGGAAGTGCTTCCTTCAAGTCACTACAGTGTGGTCACCTCTTCTTTCCCCTCTCGCCCCTCCCTATCCAGGTGTGAGTCTTTGGGAGCAGGAAACTGGTCTTTTCCTGCCTAAGCCACAAAGTCCCATTGGAGTGAGGAAACCTGGGGAGACCTGGCCCTAGTCTGGAGGCAGAAAATCTGCTCTCTTGGGGTGTGGTGACAGCCCCGGGCCTGGGGTGCCCAGTTCTGTTGTGGAACCGCGGGGTCCAGGTCTGGTGAGGGATCGGGGAGGACAGAGGGGGCTGGGCCTGGCTGGGGAAGGCTGGCCTGGAAGGCACCCAGCCACGGCCCTGGGCCAGGGTGGAAAATATGTGTGTGAGCTCATTTGGAAGGTGGCTTCTGGCCAGTCAGGCCTGCCTCCTTTCCAAGCCCTGGCTGCTCAGCCCCCTCGAAGAAGGCTGCCTCTGGGTCTCCCCCGTCTCCCAAGACTGTCTGAGGGAGGCAGGCAGAGATTTGGGGGGTGGGTTAGGTGGGGGTATGGGGACCACAGAACAATGGAGCAACCTCCCCTGGGGTTTCCCTGGAGCCTCAGGGTATGGGAACCACCCTGAAGGCCTCCTCCCCCCCCACCCCCCCAGGCCCCTGCCTCAGACTTTGACCACCCTCATCCCTCCCCCACCTGCAGCACAGGAGCCTGCGGAAGTGTGGGTTTGATATATCTCTGGGTCAGAAAGATCCCCTGGAGGAGGAAATGGCAACCTGCTCCAGTATTCTTACATAGAGAATCCCGTGGACTGAAGGGGGCTGCAGTTCACGGGGTCACAGTGAGTCAGACACGACTGAAAGTGACTTAGCACACACACGTCCCTCCCCTAGCTGCTGCCTTTGCCCCTTTCAGTTCCTCTGGCTTCTCGGCGCTATGCCTCTTCCATTCCATCAGAATACCTCTTCTTGCCCCTAAGGAGGAAGGTGACTCCTGGCCAAGCAGATTCCTGAGGAACAGCCCTTCTCCCCTGTGCTTCTGTGACATAGCACAGCACACAAGCACACATATGCTGACAGATTCCACAGAACACACACTGCCATGCCCATGCCTGGCTACGTGGGGCTTCACACTGGAAGGGACACCTAACAGACATGGTTAGAATCTGCTTGTATAGGAAAAAAATGTCAGACAGGCCCTGGTTTTGGACTACCAAGCTGGGAGCTTGAGCACATCTTATCTGGGCTTCAGTTTCCACATCTGTAAAATGGGGGCAATGTCAGTGCCTGTGTCCTTGAGTGTTGTGAGGACCTCAGCAGGCATTAGTTTCCCACCACCTCCCTTTAGCTGGAAGAGGAAGTGGGGATACAGAGTAAAGAGAGGACTGGGAAGTCTGTCAGATTGTGGGGAGATGGGGGCTGGGGGGGGAGGACAAGCACAGCTGCCAGATTGTGTGTGGGGGTCACTCTGCTCAGTCCCCACTCCTCTAGAGAGCTCAGCTCCTCTTAGGGCTTCCCCTCTCTTTTGCATACCGGGGACCCAGTGCCTGGCTGGCAGCCTTGGAGGCATAGGCCCAGATGGTGGCAGGAACCCCCAGGAGGGAGGTGATGCCAAGGGGGTCCGTGGCTCCCCCTGGAAACATGTGGGATGCTGGGGTGGGCAGAGTATAGGCTGCGTCCTGTGTTTGCCCCCAGTCCAGTCTCCTGAGAGCCCGCTTCCCTGGGTTTTGCCCAAACCTCCTTGCAGATTCCCCTTGGCTCCCTCCTGGCTGCTCTAACTCACATGTGCTGCTTTCGAATAAAGGAACTTGGAACCATAGAAACTGGGTCAGGCCCAATGGACAAAGCAGGGTAGGGCCAGTGAAGGCAGTGTTTGCAGGTCTCTCGGGAGCCACGGGGCCTCTGGTCTCCCCTCACCCAGCCTGACCTGATGGTTCCCTCAGCTGGGGCCGGGTGGGGTCCCCCAGCCACCTCACTGGGCTGGATCCCTCAGACCCAAGGCACGTCAGAAGCACGGGACTTGCGGCCTCCACCCTGCAATTCTCCCTGCTTGCGAAGCCTCTTCCCCCTCTTCCCCCTTTGTCTCTGGTCCTCCATTCCATCCCCTTGGCTTCAGAGAGCATCTTGTGATTCCAGAATCAGGGCCAAACAATTTCCTCGTGATGGGGAAACCACAGTCCAGCCACGGGAGCCCCAGGCTCCCCCCCCGCTCTTCCCTCTGGCAGTACCCCCTCCCCGTGTGCCTCCGCTGGCTCCAGCTGTGTTTTGCAGAACTCCCACTGGATAACATCTGTAATTGCCTCCAGATGTGAGCCACAAAAACACAAAGGGGCCATGAGCTCATCTTTGAGCTCCTTGCCACACGCATGGGCCCCACTGCCCCCAGACGCCCCTGACTTCTCAGGGTCCCCATCCCCTCCGGTGAGGGTGGCAGGGAGGTGGTATCCAACTCCACGGAGATGCACAGGCCGTGCCAAACAGCTGTTGGCAGGAGAGGCGCAGGAGGCCAGGCATAGGGTCAGGGTTCCTGGCTGGCAGGAAGGTGGGGTACCCCTTCTGCCAAAGCAATCACACCCGCCAGCCCTGAATAGCAGCTGGATAGAACGCCTGGCCTAGGTGGGGCCAGGGCTCTTGGAGGCAGGCCGTGGAGGGGGCCTGGGTTGGAGCCCGGGGAGGGCCGGGCTGAGGCAGGAAGGGAAGGAGGGAAGAATGAGCGCTGCTCCCCTTCAGCTGAGCTGACTCAGCAGCTGATTCTTCCCTCCAGGCTGCATTGGTGGAAGGGTGGGTCGACAGCCTGGGAACCCCGTTTGGGGCATCAGTTTCTAGGGAAAGAGGAAACAAAGCCTTGCCATTCTGCCCTTCCTACCTGACCATCCCGCCTCTCCTGGGCAACTGGGGTGAGGCCATGGGGCAACCTTCTCCCTTCCTGTCTTTCTTCTGCCCCTGCAGGGGAGCCCTGGGCCTGGTAGAGGCTGAGGTCCTGAGGGCTGGGGAGAAGGGCATGCCCCTGAGCCTTAGGCTGACTGTGATACGGGGATCCCCCAGCAACCAGCACGAGGCCTGAGGAAAGAGGGTCTGTGGCTGGGTCACACGACAGGGTAACGCAATTTAGGAAGATTTTCCGAGTAGCCTCAGCTTGGCCACTTCCTCTTGCCTTTGTAGTCCTGGGCCTCAGAGGCCAGGTTGGGGTACAGTAGCTTTAGCTGGCCTCTGTGGACCACTCCCCTGCCCCCCAAAAGCATGCCCGCCTCCCCCCAGCTCTGGAGCCTGCATCCCTTTCGTCCACTGAGAATAAACATATTCCTTTATGAAAAATACCAAAACCCCACCTCACGGAAAACGCTGCAGGGCCCCCCTGCTTTCCATTCCCCTGCAGCCGCATCCCAGGCACACAAACTGCAGCCACACAAAGAATGTGAAACACTGTTTATTCTTCGTGGAAAGGTTGAACAAGGTCAAAAATGTCCTTAGAGGGCAATGACCCAGCCCCGCCCTGCAGGTTCCTGGGGTCCGATGCCTCTGCCCCCCACCCCCACCCCACCCCATGCCCCTTGTTAACAAAAAGGAACGATTTGAAGGGAATTCATATATAATAATTATAATAAAAATATACATTAAACAAAACAAAAACCCCAAACAAGACAACTTTAGCCGAACTGCCAGCACCGTTCACCCCACTTCTCCCACCCCCCTGCCCCCCAACCCCTGACATCCCTTTCCTCTCCCTGCCCCCACAGGGCCTCTCACTCTCCCAAGTCTCTGGTACCATGACCACCCTCGGTGGCCGAAGGAGACTTCAGATGGGTGGGCTGGGTGGGAGTGGGGGCAGGACACCTGTAGCAAGGGCTGAGTGGCGGGGGGCATCGGGAAGTGAGGGGCCAACCTGACGGAAACGCCCAGGCAGGTGCCCCTTTGCAGAAGATGGCTGAGGCAGGCTGATCCTCAGCGCCCTAACTAGGTGGCTGCTCTCATAAAAGTCCCGAGTCGCCGCTCCCCGAAGGGCGCCCTCTCTGCTCCTTTCTCTGGCTCCCAGCCTTGCCCGCCATGCTGTCTGACTGAAGCCAGGGCACCCAAACAGGAGCAGCTATGACTTTCTCAAGCCCTTCCTGAGAGCGCCAATGAAAAGTGCCCTCCCCGGGTACCACAGCCCACCCTGTGGCGTCCCTGCCTGGCGCTCAGCCATCCACTCCTGCTGCATCTCCCTGGTTCGCCTTTTGCTCCTGCCCCGTCCCCTCTGACTACCCTGCCCCTGGGACCCTACCCCAGCTGCCTGCATTATGAGCGAGGTTCTTTCTCTGTGGCCTCCAGGCTCATCCCCGGGGCTCCTGGGCCCCCACCCTGGTGGCTGCACCCCTGGTCTCAGCTCTTCCAACCTTAACTTCCCCATCCGAAGCTAACATTGCGGAGGGTAGGGCTGTCGAGGGTTTCTGCAGCCCCTGTTTAGTCCTAATGGCTCAGGCTCCTTCTGTGGAAGTTCTCAGGGGCTGGTGGGCAGAGGCAGATGTCTGTGGAAAGGACTGGCCCTCGCTGAGTTTTCCTCCCAAGGTCTTAGGGTGGCTGTGCAACCCACGCTCTCACTCAGGGTCTCATCCCACCACAACAGGATTAGATCTCTTTTAGCCAGAGGGAGTGGTGGGAGGCTGCCAATTGGGTCCACCTAGGGGCTGAAGTGCCCAGAGCCTCCTGAGGTCAGAGTTCAGAGGTTAAAGGTATGTCAGGGAATGGAAAAGGGGCAGATGACCCCATGTGACCTTTACCAGCGAGGTCTGAGGGTCCTGCCTTCAAGTGCAGAGCCCAGACATTCAGATGGGGCTGAACACACACCAAGCCATGGGGGCCCCTGAGGGGCAGGGGCTGGGAGGGCGGCCCCTGCTCAGTCCCCGGGGAGGGGGGGCGGGGACCCATCTAGGGAAGAAGCAATGCCAGCGTGGAGGGTGGGAGAGGCCAGTCATGGGACAGAGAAGGAGGGAGGCGGGGAGGGCTGGGGACGGGGCTCGGGACGGGTGGGAGCAGCCCACCCACCACCATCTGCTGCCACTGGCCTTCAGAGGCCAAGTCCTCGTGGTAGGAGTGGGCGGGCGGCCGTGGGGGTCAGACCTTGTCCAGCAGGGAGCGCTGGCAATACAGCAATCGCTTGGGGGTCCCGTGACGTCTGAAGAAGAAGACGGCGAGGCCCACGGCCAGCACCAGCAGCAGCAGCAGCACTGGGAGCACCACCGCGGCCGCACTCACCGCCCCGCTGCCTTCCTCGTCCACCTCGATGATGATCACCTCCGTCTCCTCCTCAGTCCCCTCGTCCGGCTGGCCCCCTGACGACGGGCAGCCCATCCAGTCCCGCAGGGCTGACTTGGGGTAGCCCGGCTCAACCTTCAGCTTCTGGTTGTTGAATTTCCAGTATTTGTTCCCCTTGTAGAAGTAAGTGAAGACTGCAGGGTCAGCAAGAGGGTGGCGTGGGAGCCGCGAGGTGGACGCGGTGTCCGGAGAAGAGCCAAAGAGAAGAAGCAGAGAGGAAGAAAACTGTTCAGTGCGAGCCCGCCGAGTTCATCTCCTGACCCTTCTGAGCACCCGTCTCCTCAGCTCTGAAGCCAGGTGACTGTAGCACCAGGCTGAGAGAGTGGGGCAGGTCGAAGGGTCTGAAGCACAGGAAGCACTTAGGGCCCAGCACGTGGCACGGGCTCCCCGGTTCTCAGCATCATCCATTTTCTACCCAACACTCTCGGTCTTTCCTTAACTCCCCGTCCCTGTCCTCCCTTCACCCACACCTCCCGTGCCCCTCTCACCTTCGTCGCTGCCCATGAACGACCCTCTGGGAGACTCAGGGATTCCTTCCCAGACCTTGATGTTTTTGGGGTACTCGCTTTCCACTATCCTGAGCTCCTCGTTGAAACGGTAGTACCTAGGGGAGAGGTGGGGAAAGGAAGCGGTTTGACGCTGGGCACATCCTCCGAGGGGAGTGACCTGGCACTGAATTCACCAGTGGGGGACAGGGGTTTTGACTAATGAGGGCCTGCAGCTGAAGGTAGCGGAAGCTGGAGGTGGAAGGGAGGGCCCAGGCTGCAAGGAGCCACCAGTAGCCCTTAATGACAGTGCCTGGCAGCTGGGGCGGAGGCATGGTGCTGGGGGCAGGAGGCGTCAAATGACCAGGTCTAAAATGATGGTGACCGGGTCATATCCCACTCACTCAGCACCCAGTGGAGGCTGCCTGTTGCTAGGCAACAGCGGAGGTTCAGCCAGTGTCTTCTTCAGGGAGACATCTCGGGGGGCAAGTGGGTCTTCCACTAGAACTGAGGGAATCTGGTGGTGGTGTGTGACAAGGAAGGCCTGCGGTCAAGGGGCTGAGGTCTTACTTGTTTCCTCGGAAGAAATAGGTCTTTCCATTGGGCATCCAGAAGAGAGCAGCATCAATCCTGTCAGTAGGCAGTCCTCGGCCCAGCTCCTTAATATGCTTGGGGTAGCCAGGCTCCAGGGAAGCTTCGTCAAACACCCAGTGCTTATCTCCTGGGGCGGGGAGGGGAGGGCAGGATCTCATTCCACCTGGGGTCTTTGGTGGAGTCAAGTGGAACATGCTCCTCTAGGGAGACCTGCCCCGTGCCCCAAGACTACGGCAGGATGTCTGGGTACCTTTGAAGAAGACAAACTTGCCGTCCTTCCTCTCATAGGCAGTGTTGATGGATGCGGGCAGGCCCCGCCAGAACTGGCCGATGGGCATGGGGTATCCATCCATCACCTGGTTTTTCCTCACGCGCCAGAACCAACGCTCCTGGGGGGAAATTCACTCAGTCTTTAGCTCTGTCCTCCAGCTCAGTCCCCAAAGCTCCCCCACTGCCTCAGTTTTACAGGTTGACTTCCCTGGTGGCTCAGACGGTAAAGCGTCTGCCTACAATGCGGGAGACCTGGGTTCGATCCCTGGGTTGGGAAGATCTCCTGGAGAAGGAAATGGCAACCCACTCCAGTATTCTTGCCTGGAAAACCCCGAGGATGGAGGAGCCCGGTAGGCTGCAGTTCATGGGGTCGCAAAGAGTTGGACATGACTGAGCGACTTCACTTTCACAGTGTTTGTCCTGCTTCTGTGCCCACCCTGCCACCTGGTTATAGAGCCCTTTTGTCCCCCACACCAGCTTACTTCTTCCTCTTACCTTGAAGACAAACATCTCCCCTCGAAGCATGGCCACGGTGTCAAAGTTCCCATCACAGATGTTGGGCCCATAGGTGGGATTTTTGGGCTTATCAGGGACAGAAGGCCTGGAGGTGGTCCTGGGTTGAGGGGGCATCTTGGTGGGGAATCCTGACTTACTCCCTGGAACACGAGGGGTACTTCAGACTTTGGCAGAGTAGGAGGAAAGGACAGACACATGGGCAGAAAACACCTTGCGGGGAGACTGAAGCAATCAGCTGAGGACAGAAAGGGTGGGGTCAAAAGTGGGGGCGATGGAGGTGGAGTCATGGGGCGGGGGTTGGGGGTGGGGGACGGGAAGACTGTAGGGCATGAGGGAGGGGAACATGCCCAGGCCAGAGAGAGCTGGAGGAGACAATGAGCAGAAAGAAAGGAGCAGATGTGGGCATAGATTAGTCACCATAAAGTTGCTGGATGCCCCGGCGGTCGTCATCAGGCAGCACGAAGTTCTCTGTGTCCATCCACTGGTAAAAGGGTGCCATGATGGCTGAGGGATCGTTGGAATGCTCAAGGCCCAGGGCATGGCCCAGCTCATGCACAGCCACCAGAAAGATGTCATTCCCTGAAAGGACGGGGCTGGTTATGATGGCAGCCTGGGTCCCTCCCCTCAGACTCACTGCTTCCCCATCAGAAGTTTCACAGTGAAGCCTGCCAAATTTTCCACCCAAAGTGAGCAAACCCTGAGTTCCAGCCTCATATTTGGCAGATGAGGCACGAAGCCAGTCAGCAACTCTTCTGGATAGAGGAGAGACTGGCCAGATCCCAGTCCCCGCGAGGGTTGTGTTAAGGGAAGCTGAGGTCCTATCTGGGCCTCAGTTTCTCCCAGGAGCCAGACATGACATTTGCCTGGAAAAGTGGCTGATGCAGATGCTTCAAAGTCTTTGACTGGGAAGTTAATTATTGGGCGAGAGAAGGGACCAGATGTAAATAGGTCAAAACAGGATTCCTGCTTTCCTTGGAAGTCAGACCAGGAGATCTTTGTGGTTCCCAACAAGCCCTGTGATTAGGGGGGAGTCTGAGGTTTGGGGAGGAGGCCAGAGAACCCGCATGCAAACGACTCTTGACTCTCTGAGGGATAAGAGATCCAGGGCTACCTCGCTCACCATTCAGATCCTCATTCCGGACAGTCCAGGGCTCGGCAGAGTCAAAGTGGGTGTCCCCTCCAATGTTGGGGCCTGGGAAGTAGGCATGGGCCAGGAAGCCGCCCTCGCCATCGAAAGGCGTGCTGTCACCATGGAAGCCCTCAGCAAAGAAGATCATGATGTCGGCCTGCTTCTCGTGGCCCTCACGGATGTAGGCATAGGGTACCTCTCGGAAGCGCAGAGGCGTGGCACTCTCCCACACTCGGAATGCCTTGCGGATGGCCTCGAATGTGGCATACTCGCCCACCTTGGGGGTGTAGTTCTGGATGCTGAGGTCCAGCCACGTGGGGAGAGGATGGGAGTGTGTTAGGGGCAAAACTCTCCTTCCCTGTACTCTCCCAGGTCTGACTGAGCCGCCCAGCCATCTTTGTCTGACCCGGCGCGTCCTGCCGTCTCACAATGCCTCTGCCCCAAGAACTGAGGGCCTTCTGGCCCTGGAATATACCCTCCAGGGACTGCACCTCTCTCTAGGATGGGAGCCATTTTCCTCCCTACTGCCCAGGACGCTTTGCAGGAACAGGGGTGAGTAGGGGAGGGGGCCTCTGCGTCTCTAAGCATCCCTGGTAGGGAAGGGTAACGTGCTGTGAGGAAGGCCGCTCGCCTGTTGGACTCACCAGAAAGTGATCTCGTTATGCTGCCATTTGAGCCCCTGGATGGCATAGCGCTTCCTTCGAACATTGGCCTTGATTTCAGCCCCAAACTTGTCTGGAACACCACAGCGGGGGCGCCTCATGGCCCTGGGGTGGGTTGGGGTGTGGGGATTGTGGTCAGGAGAGTACATGACAGAACGTCGGTCTTCAGAGGAGAGGGGCAGTGTCTGGCCCCAGGGTCAGTGTGGGGAAGTCAAGATCATGAGGTCCGGGTGAACAGGAGAGGGTCAGGATCATCTTGTGGGGATGAGGGACGGGGGGTAGGATCAGGCATTCGGGTGGCAACCTCTCTGGTGCTGTGTCATGTGGGTGGGAACTGGGCAGAATTCCTGCAGGTTCTAGCACTTACTTCATGGTGTCTGCATCAGCCTTGCCTGTCACTCGCAGACCGTAGAACCTCTGCATGGCAGCGATGGCAGCTGAGAGGGACTGGGGTGAGCGCTGTGTGTGGGTCCGCAGGTCTCCAGGGGGCAGGTAGCCATACTGCTGCAGCCAGGCCTGTGGGGAAAGGGGTGTGGCTTGGAGCATCCCCACCTGGCCCAAGGGGAGCCCCTGCCTCCTCACGGCACCTGGAACACACGCTTGGCTTGGCGTGGAAAGGGCCATGAGCTCCCAGCCTGGCTCTGGCAGTGGGTCTGGAAGAACTCCCAGGCTGGACCCAAACTCTGGCCCAGGTCCTAGTATGGCTGATCCTCTTGGAGGGGAGGGGAGCTCTGCGCTTTGGCTGTAACTCTTTTGATGGGAGCCCTGGTGGTTTAATTGAGTTCTAGGATGTCTTCTAAGAGTCGAGATCCCTTCCAGCTCTTTCCTCCTCTGTGTCAGTGTTCTTGTGAATACAGCATGTTCTACCTGAGGCTGGGGTATGTCCCATAGTAGATGGAGAAGGGAGAGGCTGAGGGGGCTCCACTTTGAGGCCTGGCACGAGGTTCTCCTGGGACAGGCATGCCTCCAGGATATACACAGCTTTGAGATATTTTTGGAAGGAGGGCAGAAAAGAAACTAGGGCTCAGGCTGACTGTTGATAGAGGAAGCTGGGGTCTTTGGAGGTGGTATGGATGTGATTAGACAAAGAGCCAGGATCCTGCCACTGTCTCTACCCAGGCAGAATGAGGTCGAGGACTTGGGACCTAACATCCCACTTAAGGTTCTCAAAAGAGGGAGTGGGAGATTGAGGTGGTGGTTAGCATTACGGTTAATATTTTATTTAGTATTTTTGTGACTGTTGTTTATTTCAGGTATGATTTGAATTGTTCATAATACAAAGGGTGGCATATTGCCTTAACGTAACGTTACATTTTTGGTGTTTGATTGAAAGGTACACACACTGCAAAACCCTGTTAAGGAAAAAGTCAGTTTATTGTAAGAACAATAGAGTGTTTTCCTAAGGTTGAAAAAATTAAATGAGTCAAGTTATATATGGAACATGAACATGCTCAGAGCCTCTATGGGGAGATCCTTCTAACCCTAACCCTAACTCTAGTCCCTGCTCCAGCTTTGCCTTCTTAAAAGAGTCCAGGGTCGGGGGCTGCAGGTTCCTGGGATAGGAACTTGGAGCAGAGGTGCATCCCCTACTCCAGGTCATTAGGATGGCTCTGCAAGTGGCCCTTCACCTTGAGGGCCAGGCCTTGGAGATGGAGCAGTGCGCTTGCATTGGGGCTGGGGGTGATTCAGGAGCAGCTGACTGGGGACCTGAGCCCACAGGGGCAAGAATTGCAACATGGTTCTGGGAAGTGATCCCCCAAGGCTGATGACGGGAGTTAGGGATTGAGATGTAAACAACCCAGCTTTTCCTCAGCCAAAAGGCCTGGCCAGAACAACCCCAGCACCACCCGCTCTGAGAGCCCCTCCTCGGGGTGGGGGAGGGGGAGCAAAGTTTAACCTCTGGGGAGCAGAGCAGAAGGCTCCTATCCCAGGCTGCTCTCTGGGGAGCTCTAAACCTGCCCTGACCTGTGCTGACTGATGCCACAGCTAGTGCCTGCAGGAGACCTGCTGTGGCCCTGTGCCCAAGTATGCAGGAAACTCCCTCTGCCCCTGGCCTCACCTGTAAGGTAGACACACCCCTGGGCTTATGCCCTCTGTTAGGGGAGCAGCTGCTTCAACTTTGAGAAAAGATGGGAATGGCCCACTGCTGTTGGAGCTGGCAGGAAGACGGAGGTCAGGCCCCGAACCCTCAGTGGGGCAAAGCTCCTAGGGCAGGATGACAGAACGGAGGGCAGCAGAGAGGTGGGGGAAACCCACATCCGGGAGCTCTGGGATAAATCCCTCATGGCGAAGCCTCTTTCAAGCAGGCAGACAGGTCTGAATATTCACACCCACCAACCTCCACCCTATCCAAATCTGGTAGAGAAAGGTGGGGACTTAGTCAAGAAAGGGACTTTCTGGAGTCAAGAGAGCCGCAAGTCCTGGAAAGGAAGTGCCCCCCATTCCTCTCCCCCTCCCAGGCCTAGGCTCTGAGCAAAGCAAGAACCACAGAAGAGACTATGAGGTCTGAACCACAGAAGAGAGGACTCTTGTGTCTGCGGCCGAGTGGGGGAAGGGCCAAGTGCCAGACTGGCCAAGGGGAGGAGAGTGCTGTCTGTCCAGAGCTGGTGCAGGACTCCGGAGGTGCTAGAAGGGAGCCGGCGCCTGAGGCCTGGGCCACCCCAGCTCTTCTTTCTCCCTCCCGACAGGCCCGGAGAGGGAGCAACTCAGTAGGGTCAGAGAACTCAGTTGGCTGGCTTTGTCTTGAAAATTGAGAGGTGCAAGGTATTCCCCTTGGGGAAGTCAAGGACAAGGAACCCCTTTCCACTCCTGGGCCCACTTCTCTGGCCTAAGCATCCTGGAGAGGAGTTGGAGGGATCTCTGGCTCTTCTGCAGGCCCTGGATTCCAGCCTCTGGGCCTGCTCCTCCCTCCTTCTGCCTCCCACCCCTCCATGGCTCAGAAGCAAACGGTGGTTCTGGCACTGTGACTGCCCATGACCCACTTAAAACACAGCCAGGTCTGCGGCCCCTCCTCTAGGGGACCTAGTGGGGTAGGGGAGGGAAGGAAGGCAGGGCTGGTGAAGTTGGCAGCGGGAAGCCCCCAGATGCCCAGGCTCCTTTTGTTAGGAGCGCTCCCCTTTAGGCCTCTGATGAAGACTCCAGGCCTGGAAACAGGGTGCCTCCTCCTGGACCGAGTCAGGCTTAGCCAGGGCAGATTTTCGCTCTCCCTGGTCGCCCCCCTTCCGAGGGCCACACTTCTGTCAGCTTCAGATCCCTTCAGGACAGAGAGAGTGTGTTCTTTCTGAAGAGGTTTCCTCCGGGGGTGGGACCAGCGCCGGGACCAGAAGGGAGGAAGCCAAGTCCAGATCCCCTCCCCCTGCTCAGGGGCCCTTCCCTGCCCCTCCCGACCGCACCCAGGCCCTGGCCGAGCTGAGTGGGTTGGGATGGCCCAAAATAAGAAACTGATCAAATCCGTCTCCCACCTTCACCCCAAAATAAAAGAGAGAGAGAGGAAAAACTTTCTCAGACAACTCCCACGCGGCTTCCTCCCGGGCCCGGTGGGCCAGCTTCGGGGAGGAGAAGCGGGGGGCAACCCAGTCAGCGAAGACCTGTGCGGGCTCCCTGGGCCAGGCCCCTCACTCCGCTCCCCGTACAAAGCCCCTAAGTCTCCGTGCAATTAACACAAAAAAGCAATTAACCAAAAAAGCCTAAAGGCGCCGAAGCGGGAGCAGGGCGAGAAGGCGGCGGCCCTGTCGAGCCCCCAGCTCACAAGGAGAGCTTTGTCCGGAAACCCGGGCCAGGGCGCCAGCGCCGTGACCCTCGACGCCAGGGCTGCGGGCCGGGACGCAGAGGGTCCTTTCGGGGAGGCGGGGGTGGGATGGGGGCCGGGGCCGCTCCGCCGTCCACCCCCGACCGCACCTGGCAGCCGATGTGTCCGAAGAGGGTCGGGACCGCCCGGGAGGCGGCGGCGGAGGGCGCAGCGTGGGGGGCCCGGGCCGCGATCCCCCGAGCCTCGCGGCCGGCCGAGCGCCTGCGAGCTGGAAAGTTGAAGGAACAACAAACTAGCACAGGACAAGAAACCAGGACAGCGCGGGCTCTGAGCGGAGTCCAGATATTTATCAGGTTCCCGACCCGTTGCAGAACTGAGCTTAGAGCCCAGGGGAGCTGGGGAGGGGTGCGGAGTGGGCTTCGGCTGGAAAGCTCTTCCAAGGAAAGGAACGGGACAGTAAGTCGGCAGCGCGCAGTGGGGTGGGGGGTGGTTGGAGGAGGCAAAGTCGATGGACTTGAAAGTTTGGAGATGAGGACGGAAAGGAGAGGAAGTGGAGAGGAAGGGGGAGCCTGCAGGCCGGAGGAGCCGGCATCCCGAGCGCTCGCCCCTCCGATCCGGGGCTGTTCTCTCGGAGACCCCCGGGCTCGCCTCCCCGGGCGCGACTCCGGACAGGGCCGGAGGAGCTCACTTACTTCGGGGCTGAAGCTGCTCTGGGCAGAGCTGAGGGAGGCGAGCGCGGAGGCGAGCGTGAGCACCGGGAGCAGAAGACTGCAGGCGGGTCGTGGGGCGGGAGACATGGTCCGCGACTGTCCGGGCAGCCGGGCCAAGCGGGCTCCGCGGCCGGGCCCAAGCCCTGGGGTCGCGCCGCCACTCCCTCGGGGCGCCTTTGTCTTCCGTAGGCACTGAATTTGGATTCCCAGAGCGCTGTCCACGTGGAGATGAGGGAATCGGTCTTGAAGGCGCCTCTTTGCTCGTCCCCTCTTTCCCGTTTTTTGATCTTTCTTCTGCTTAGTCGGCGAACTGGACTGCGAGCCCTCTCTTGCTCTCTTCTCTGGTCCCTCCCTTCTCCCACAGCCTCCCTCCGCCCCCGCCCCTATGCCCTCCTTTCCCGGTGCGGACGTGGTTGTTTCAGCCTGAATCCAATTACAGCCAAAAGTCGGGTTAAAAAAAAAAAAAACTCCTAAGTTGCCTTTCTGTGGTGGAGGCTGCCATCTGCAGGGGTTGAGGCCAAGAGCCGGGGGCTTGGGGGGACTCAGGGGACGGGATGTGGGACACTTTTTCCTTCTAAGCATATTTTGGGTGGCTTGATTCCTCTGCTTTCAGCATTTGTTTCACTTCCGTGGGAAGTGCTAGGCTCAGTGGTGGGGCAAACAAGGAGCTCAGTCTAGGATGGTGGTGGTGGGGTCTTCCATGTTCAAGAGATCTGGTTTGGGGGCTTGTCTGCTGGGACCTGTGGCTTGACCATATCGAATTTTTTGCCCCTTATTCTTGACGACCACCTGTCCCTCCCCTGCAGGGGGGTGGGGTGGTGGTGAATGCAACAATAACAAAATGCAACTACCCACTGACAAATCCCACAACCACATTGGATCTGGGGTTCCTGTCTTTGTAGAAAGACACATGTGCTCCCTTTATTATTGTCTTTTGTGATCTACTGCCCCTTAAACTACAGCGGGAAAGGAGTGCAAGGCCATGGCATCTGGGGGAAGACAAATGAAGTTTGGTAAGATTGCAGAAAAGAGGGGCTAGGAGTCAGAGGACTATGGGGGTTCCACCTCTACACTGGAAAAGGAGATGGTCCCTTAGAGAGCATACCCTCCTCCTTCAAGGGCGGCCTAGACTCTGAGAACAAAAGATGGAGGTATGCAGAGAAGGGGGAGGGCCAGCCAGGGCAGGCAGTGGGAAAGGGAGACAGATAAGAGGTTGAGGGCTAGATCTGGAAAAGCAACACAACAGAATCAGGAAAAGTGTGGGAGACCGAAAAGTCGACCATCAGCAAAATTTAAGATCCAAGAATTGCACTGGTCAGCCAGAGAGGAAGGAGGTAGTGGGGGGTGGGGGTGAAGAGGGGAGGGAAAACAAGGGAAGGAATAAAGGAGGCTGGACAGAAATTATTTCAGGTAGAAAGTTCCATAAATCCTAGAGATCCAGTAACTACCACAATTTGCAGCAGGAAAATGGAAAAGTCCAGTACTCTGTACTGTAATGGGTCCTTTTCCTCTCAGAATCCGTGTGAGTGTTGCAGGAAGGGGGACCCCTTCCAGGGCCTGAAACTGGGCTCTTGTCTAACACTCGGAAATGAATTGTCCGAGGAGACACATGCTGACAAAGCAAGAGATTTTACTGGAAAGGGCACCCGGGTGGAGAGCAGGAGGGTGAGGGAACCCAGGAGAACTGCTCTGGCGCATGGCTGGAAGTCTTGGGTTTTATGGTGATGGGATTAGTTTCTGGGTGGTCTCTGGCCAATCATTCTAATTCAGAGTCTTTCCTGGTGGCGCACGCATCGCTCAGCCAAGATGGATGCTAGCGAGAGGGATTCTGGAAAGTGGACGGACACTGGAAAGTGGACGGACACGCGGTGTCCCCTTTTGACCTTTCCTGAACTCTTCCGGTTGGTGGTGGCTTACTAGTTCCGTATTCCTTATCAGGATCTCCTGTCAGAAAACTCATGCAAATGGTTACTATGGTGCCTGGCCAGGGTGGGCGGTTTCAATCAGTGTGCTTCCCCTAACAGAAGGAGCCATGACCAATAAAAGGAAATGTTTCCCGAGGCCTGTGCAGCTAAGGGACTTATGGAAGTACATGGTGACTAATAGGTGCCCATTACAACAGTGACTGTTTGGGGGCTGAGCACCTCAGGGCTCCCCTACACAAATGGAAGTCGGGAAATCTGGACCTCTCTCCAACCAACCTCTGGAATTCAGTCAGAACCACAGAAACCTCAGGATCCAACTCTTCAGCAGAACATGCAACATCCACGTTGGCTCTTCCCATGTCCGCCTTCCCAGTGGGAGTATCCTCTAGGGCCATCTACCTGAAGTGTAGGAAAACTGATACTGTTTTCTTGTCAAAAAGTAGATCTCAGCTAGAAGGCCTTTTTCATCAAAATATTTATTAAATGCATAACTGCATGTGGCCTCAACTGTGTATGGGCTGTTAAAGGCTTGAGTGCCAGGCTAAAACCAGGAAAACTGTTGCCCCCTTTATCATGTTTGCAGAGCAGCTACTACTGCTCATAGTTGGGCCAGTCCTATGGCTTGTAAATGAGGGAGTAAATACTCCAGAGTAAGATTCTGCTGAACTGGGATGGAGCTGGGGGTGAGGGGACTGAGTCAACCCTTCCAGGCAGTGGTTTTATAGCCCGTTATTCTTGGTGTCCAAAAGGTGTCCCTTTTACCCTGATGGGGAACATAAGGCTTTCTTCTGGAAGGGATGACACATCCAGGTAATAGAAAAGAAAGCCAGAGACAGGCTTGGGAAGGGAGACAGGAGTTGCTTTTTTATTGACTTGGTCGTGGGTTTTGTAGTAGAGCCCCTTTGGGTTTAAGAGCATTCTGCTGCTTCCTTTTTTCTTCCTGCAACTTCTCCTGCTGTCTGAGCTGCCATGCCTGTAATCCAGCATCCATTTCCTGTGACAGCAGTACAACTCGTCTCTGAAACAGACAGGAAAACAGTGTGGATAACATCTGGGGCTTGAGCTCTGCACCATATATCCTTTCATTCACAGATCAAAGTCAGGTTTCGGCTGGAAAGTGACACCACTGCCTGGGGAAGGGGTGGAACCAGGTCCTGGGCTGGCAAGCAGGAGGAAGGAAGCAAAATGGGTGTCTACCATTGGTTCCTGCCCTAGGAGTGCCCCAGTCTATTCTCCCTTGTCACAGAACTGTTAAAACCTTCAGTGGCTAAAACCTCCAAGTGAGGGGTACATGTCAGCTTAGGTGCCAACTCAGGACAAATTACAATTTAAATGTTCTCCCGCCTGTTACAGTTTGTTCTGGCTGGAGATCTAGCCACTTACCGCAAACTTTTCCCTTTGGGCTTTTCTTCGAAGCTGGCCTTTCATTGGAGGAGCAGGGCGGCCATCTGCAGATAGAAGTGAAAGGAGAGGCAAGTGTTATAGAGTCTACAATACCCTGGCCAAGTGGCTGTGGCAGCAAAAGAGGGAAGAACCTATCTCAAGCTCCTCTTTTCTATTTCGTACCCACTGTAGCTTCATTCCCCTAGAACACTTCCTTCATCTTCAATGGTGAAGTATGCCAGAACCACCAAGAATAAGCTCCTAGTCATGTTCCTACTCTACTCTACTCACCCCTCATTAGCCTAGAATTCAAGGTCCTTTGCGATGCTTAATCTCGAGATGCTGAATCTCCTGTTTTATCTTCAGAAACCCTCCACTCAAGCAATCTGATTACTGTTCTACTCACCACTGAGTCCTTGCTGAATTCTATCTCACTCTATGATGAAATATCCTCTTTTCCTTTCCTTCCAGCCAAATTCTCATTCTTAGGCCTACCTCCAGCCCTACTTGTCCCAGAAACCCTTCTCTAACCTCTTCAACTTTGTCACTCTCTTCTGAAAGAAATGCATCTCCATCATTTAATATTTATCTATTTCGGGACATTTAAGGGCTTCCCTATAGCTCAGACAGTAAAGAATCTGCCTGCAATGCAGGAGACCTGGGTCTGATCCCTGGCTCAGGAAGGTCCCCTGGAGAAGGAAATGGCAATCCACTCCAGTATCCTTGCCTGGAGAATCCCATGGACAGAGGAACCTATTACTTGGGGACATTTACTGTACTACTGATTATTTTTAGTCTTATTTAGCTATCTCAAATTCTTCTGGAAAGAGACAGAGCATTGAAATATTAATTAATCTTTAAAATGTCATGCTTTGTTTTTCCAGCTAAGACTTTAAGTTCCTTGGGATCAAGGACTATATCCCTTACTTTCACTGTAATATATATAGGGTAGGCACATAATAAAAATCTCATAACCATCTGCTGACTTGCTGGAAAAAAGAAAGATGCAGTATCTTGATCTCAAGTAGTTTATAATGGAGATTAAAAGGATACTTTCTACAAAGAGAGTGAAAACTCTGCCAAAGTTTGAAAGCAAGACAAATAAGAGATATTATTCATCAAGAAAGGGAACCAATAATGTGTACATCAGGTGTTTTACATTGGATGTTTCATTTTCTCCTTACAAGAACCATCTGAGATACATATCCTTTTACAGAAGTGGAAACTGAGAGATACAATTAAGTAACTTGTCCAAGACCATAAAGTTAGCAAGTAGAGAAGGAAGCCTGGATTAAGAATTCTAAGACTTTCCTGGTGGTCCAGTGGTTAAGAATCCAGTTTCCAATGCAGGGGACATTCTGTGGGGCAACTAAGCCTGTGCTGTGCCACAAAAGGAGCTAAGATCCCACATGTCTTGAGGTCAAAAAACAAAAAAACCAGCAAGACATAAAAAAACAGGAACAATATTGTAACAAACTCAATAAAGACTTTAAAAATCGTCCGCATTAAAAAAAAAAAAACTTAAAAAAATTAACTCCAGAGTCCTTCCAATATTTCAAGAAAGCCTAGACTTCCTACAGTAAATAACAAGTAGAAAAAAATCTTCCCCATCCTCCTCAGCCACCACATATCTGATTAACCAGGTTTATACCCCTATAAATGGCAACCCTCTCCAGGACTCTTGCCTGGAGAATTCCAAGGACAGGAGCCTGGCGGACTAGAGTCCATGGGATTGCAAAGTGAGACATGACTGTGTGACTGACTTTCACTATTTTTTTT